AAAAGAAAAGATGACAAGGTAACAAAAGAGCAAGATTTAAAAGGAAAATAAAATGTTCAGCTTGTACTGAATACATCTTTAGAAGAATTAGTTATGTTAATGTGACCATTGAGGAAGTGTGTTGGGAATTAACAAGTTGCTCATCCAACTCTTCCCAGTCTTTTAATTTGATGGTCCAAAGCAGTGCAACCCATGTTTTAATAAGATGGAATGAAGCGTGAACATATTTAGTCATAAACACTGACTAAAGTCAACAATACTTTCTCATTCCAGCCATGGCAAACCCGGGAGGGCTCATTGCCGCAATAGCAATCCTGAAGGCTACCTTTGACAACTATGCTGGAACAGATGGAGACAAGACGACTTTGAGCAAGAAAGAAGTTGGAGAATTGCTCCGCGCTGAGCTTGGGGATGAGGTAAGTAGAAAAAAGCAGCACTTTGGCAATATAGCTGTGAATGCCTCTTTGACATAATGTTTATGTTTTGCATTTACAACTCCTTCTGTTTTTCTTTTGTTTAGCTCAAAGACAAAAAGGAATTTGACAAGTTCTTCAAAGGTCTGGATGGCGACAAAGATGATGTTGTTTCTTTTGAAGAGTTTATCGTTTTTGCAGCAAGCTTCGCTATGATGGTGTTTGGGCAACAATAGTCTTAAGCCACGTTGCTTCAGAACTTCTTTGGGTATTTGAATTTGTTCTAAATGAAAACATAAACTGGACGATCTAATTTGCACTGTATTACAGTCACAGCCATTCAATTTGCATGTCATTTTCATATATTCTGAGAAGGAAAACTTGGTTAAACACACAAAGATAAATCATATGGGTTATTGTGTTGACTTGGAGGACTTAAATTGTGCTGACTTTGAGTTTGTATCAATGATGTTCAATGTAATCAGTGAACAATAAAGAAAGGAAAATAAATGTCACATTTTGTGAAAGTTTTGTGTGTGTTCCTAAACAAAAATACAGGTATCATTCAAAGTGCAGCTGACCGTCTCTACTGTGCATCTACAAGGCAGAAAGCCTTTAGAATCATCTGTAAAAACATAATCTGCATTTTTATTTAACATACTATATAAAATGTCTCTCAGCTCATCATTCAGGGTCCCATCCCATGGTGCAATGTTTGCTATTATGTCACTGTTTGGATGCATTACACGTAGGGCAGGAAATAACACAGCTTTACATCTGTATGAGGTCCTTAAAACGCTGAGTATGAGTTTAAAACTAGAGCGGCTTAAACAAAGGGTGAGTAAAATAAATCTCCAAAACTTTATAGGCAGTAATCTTCATGCACATGTTTATAAAGATTTCAGTAATTGTGCTGTGTTCTCACGTTCACCACTTGGTTTTCCAACACAAATGCTTTTTGCTGCTATGATGCTGTTACAGGTCCCAGCTTGAAAGAGCCTGATAACAGATTTATGCCAGGAAATGATTGAGACAGGCAAACGTGTAGCTTCTTCATTCAACGTCTTCTCAAGCTATATTTATTTCACACTTTTCCAAGTGAAAACAATCTCCTGTATGTTTCCTCAGTTTTACATGACAATGTACAGGAAAAATACATTCAATTCTCTCAAACTAAATAATCAAAGTTCACACTGCTATCATTACATTAACAAGTTACATAACTATGTTCAACCCACATATTTGTGGTAGCTTGGGACAAAGCCCTTCCTAACTGCACTTTTGCAATGTGCTCACAGCTACTGTGGCCTCCATGAGAAAGACACTATTCCACATGGCGGCGCTGCTCTATCAGCATAGCGAACCGCTAATACATGCTCACCAACATTCACAACACTTATATACACATTTCAGTAACATTAACTTACATATTTAGGATGAAACGACCTACCAGAACATAAAGAGTCCATTCACCTCATAAACAAAAAGTAGAATGTGTTGGAGCCAGAAAGAAACAAGGGAATGTAATGCAAGGCTACTATCAGTTTAGCGAGCACTCGAAACACATGAAACACAAAGTAATCTATAAAAATGTTCACTAAACATTGGTCCCCAATTCATATGTCATATTCGGTGCACTTTACAAGTCACTAACCTGAGAAAACAGGAAATGATCGAGACAGGCAAAGGTGTGGCTCCTTCATTCTTCTCAAGCTATGAGGAGACGCTGCAGGGCCGCGAGGCGAAACCCCAGCGCTGCACTGCCACCTACTGGGCATAGATAGTAATACACTTCTAAAGAAGTTTTATTATGATTAGCAAATCACAGAAATTCGTTCTATCAAATATTTCTCAAATAAACAAAAATGTGACCATACATTTTGTGTGCTTCACAATGCCCCCTTGTGTTTGAAGCTTTCACTCTGAGGTGTCCATGCCATTTATTTCCCTGTGGTCTTGTGTGGCTGGAATCAATTAGCCTAAGACAGAGGATGAGAAGTATTTACCAAAGGTTTACCAATCTAAGCATTATTTAGGTGAGCAAGAAACATGTCTGAAGCCTCACAGCTGTCACCTTGCACCTGAAGAGGAGGCATGGCTGGACTAGCCTGTTCAGGGGCCCCTGAATTCCCCGCCTCTGTGCTTTGTTTATACCATGTCACTTCCACAAAGCAGACTGCGCATGGCAGCTTCATTAATTTCTACCCAGAAGGCAACCAGTTCCAACCAACTCCTCGTCTGGAATAAAACTGGATTTTATTAAAATTATCAAATTAAATGACAGTAAAGAAAACTTTAGGAATATGTACAATTCGAAAACTTGGACACAGGGCCTCTCTATAAGACAGGGCCTCAATATTATGAGAATGCAGCACCTGTTTGAGCTTTGCAAATTCTCTGAAAATTTAGAAATGAATCCAATTATGTGACACAAATTGAAACAAACTGAACCTATGGCATTTGGAAACCCAGAGCAGATGTGTTCTCAGTTACTCCTGGTTTATAATTCAGCTTGTATGGCAGGCCCATCTTTCTTAATTTGATTTAGTAACCCTGCTTTAAAGTCAAGATCAATGATGTGAAGTTATCAAACACAGAACACTGGGATGATGGAAGTTATTACTTTACAAGGTTGTTGAATTTGGGGCTGCAACTAACGATTATTCTTATAATCCGACAATTATTTTTGGGGTTAATTGGGTCATTGTTTGGTCTATCAAATGTCATGAAATAGTAAATAAGCACAACACAACAGAATGTGACAACATCAAATTACTTCAATCTAAAATGTATATATATCCCGTTTAAGGTAAAGAAAAGCAATTTTTACGACTACGAAGCTGAATGTAAAAAACAATTTGGCGTTTAAACAAAGTCGACTAATAACTCATATTGTCAAGTTATGGTGTCAATATGGACATGAGCTGTGAGTAGTCCAGACAAAGATTTCGTCGACATTTCACCATGATTAATACAAAAAAAAAAGTTAAAGATAGTTTATTTTCCTATCCTATAGACCCAGAGGCTTTACTTTGGGTACAAGGGATCCCGATCCACAGTTTGGGCACAACTGGCTAACAGATTTGTTTATTACATTCCTAATTTAGTCAAAAGAAACCACTGACTGACTCACGACTTGTCGGTATACAATTATGTTTCCTACCCAGGAAACTAGCCGCTACACCCGTGACCCAAATGGAACGCGTCCTGGGGCGGTCTCGTGAATCATCGGACTCTGTCGGCTTTTCCCGGTGAGCTCAGTCAGTTAGCTAGCCAAGCTGATTAGCCCGCTACGACAAGCTAATGTTTGTGGGATATTTATTGTTAGCTGAATTTGACTGGATGATACAAAGAGTATAGAAAAAATGGCGGACGTCGAGGGAGAAGGAATTTGTTCATCGGTCCCTCCGTTGCCTCACCCTTCTTCTCGCAACGGCTCCGGTAGCGGTAACGTTACACCGGGCACCGGCGGCAGCTGCCAGACGGCAACTACCGTTACTTCAGGCCCACGGCTGGTTCGAATAGTGAAGTCTGACTCGGGCTATGGTTTCAATGTTCGGGGACAAGTTAGTGAAGGCGGGCAACTACGAAGCATTAACGGGGAACTGTACGCTCCACTGCAGCATGTCAGTGCTGTACTACCGGGAGGTGCCGCCGACAGAGCCGGTATTTCGAAGGGGGACAGGATTCTTGAGGTGTAAGTGGCTATACTGTCTTAGCTTAACCTGAAGCATATTTAAGTAACGTTAACGTACAGATGACCCCAGTATCTTTTACTGGGAGCAGTCTCGGCCACCAAAAAAGCCCGTGTGAGCATGCACTACCATACTGGTCTTGCAGGGCAGAGGAGCCATTCTTCCTCATGAAAGGAGTGTGTGTGTGTGTGTGTGTGTGTGCGTGTGTGCGTGCGTGCGCGTGCGTGTGTGCGTGCGTGTCAGGTAGAAACGATTGAGGGATCATTAAACATTCCCGTCACACTAAATCCTACCCCTTGTACACATTAATATGGAACCAGATGCAGTTTGTTATATGTCTGCATGCCCCACTGCATCTAACCATACATGGCTTTGATGTTGCTACCAGTGAGCATGTGTGTGTGTGTGTGTGTGTGTGTGTGTGTGTACTGCATTTAGGATAGAGGTGATCGTCCTAAATCGTTAGTATGCATGGAGATTGCTTGCTGATGTTAGGCTCTGTTGCTATGGAGAGGAACCCGCAGCATCAGTACTGATGCTCCAGTGTAGTCTGAATAAGGTGATGCAGAAAGGGAGGAGGGATGCCTTCAGTTCAATTCTGATTGGCTTCGCTCTCTAAAAAGCCAGTATCTCATTGGCTGGCTTTTTGCACACTGCTTTGTTGATGGATGGCCTGCAGTAACCTGGCAGTTTGTTGACCCCATTATTTCTGCACGCTTATGTGCAAGAATGAGAATGTATGTATGTGCATTTTTGTATAATGTACACACAGGACAACCTGTCAGTCAGGCCCAAATACATACTTGCTCTCGATTATATCTTCGCACATTTACAAACTGCTTCTGAACCTTCAGTACAGAATAATTTATAGTGCAAGACAATAAAGTGTATAATGTTAAACACTCGGATCAATACCCCGTCTATCTTGCAGTGTATATTGCTGTGGCAGATTTAGCTTTAAAGAACAGCATAGAAAACAGCAGTGATATAAACAAATACAATAACTATTACCTTGAATTATAAATACAGAGGAGAGAAATGCCTCTTGAAAATATTTATGATGCTCAGAAGTGCTGATCGTGCAAGTGCAAAGGGCACCACATCAGGTGCTTATTTTATAGTCATAAAGTTGCTAAAACAAAAGAGCTGCCAAAATGCTTAGTCTGTAGTTTCTGTTGTAGGAGACATTTGTTCTTTCTCCCACCTGCAAGATGGTTTTATTTGTGTCTCCCCTATTGGTCTTTGCTTATTTCCACTGACATAATCGTAGCTTTTGCATTTAGCAAAGTGGCTAAATGAGACTACAAAACGTCATCACTTTCACAGCCTCGTTGTGTATTCTCACGCTCATGTGACTGAGGTGTAATTCGTTTCATGCCTCATGTTAACGTTTTACTTCTGGCGATTACATTCATGCTTCCCGTGTTTATTTGTGAAGATTATCTTGCTAAACAAAATGTGTAATTATCATTAACTTGTGTTTGCCATGGAGCTTTTTTTCTGCAATTTTCTAAACTTCCAACAGAAAAATCCCATTGTTTTCTTTGTCGAGGGAACCAGAGCGACGCTAACTTCCGTGATTGGCCTTTTAAAAAGACGTCATCCCTGCAGCGCACTGCTGAAAACATTGCAAAAGTACATTAGCAGGAAACTTAAAGCACAGAATAATGTGATTTACTAAATCTCATTCTGACACAGTTTACACCTTAATTTGCCAAACTACCCATTATTTTGGGATTTAAACAAACGGCTGGAGGGGATGCTGAGAGCTTAATGCAGTGGCTGTTTAGAGTAAAGTTAACTATAGGTCAGGACGCTCCAGCATGACACATGCCGGCCAAAAGGGCAAACACCCAGCGTTACTCATGCTCAGCTTTCCTGATGACATAAACCAAAAGGTCTTACTCCTGAGGACAAAGCCTCTGTCACTGTGCCACACAGTAACAGAAGCTGTTGCACTTAATTCACTTTTTAACTCTTCTTCACTTTCTGTCATTTCATTCAGAACGTGTGTTCTATTTAGGGCTCTCGAATAAAAAAACAAACAAAAAACTCAACAGCTACCACATCTCTTCCTCCGTGTTTCCTCTAGTAATGGTGTGAATGTAGAGGGAGCAACCCACAAGCAGGTGGTGGACCTGATCCGGGCTGGAGAGCGGGAGCTGGCGCTGGCCGTGCTGTCCGTCCCGCCCCAGGAGACCGACTGCTTGGATCCCGGAGACGACATTTCAGCCCAGTCCTGCTACGACTACTCCGACAAGCAGGCCGTCCCCATCTCTGTGCCGAGCTACAAACACACCGAGCTCAACCAGGAAAAGTTTGTGGTGGGTGCAGCTGTGGATGAATTCGTAGATGACTAAATGAGAGGAGGAAGTCAGATTTTGGAAGCATGAATGGATGAATAAGCGACAGGATTGGTCTTAAACTCCCTGTTATCGCGTTGGGACATTCATTTTTCACTTTCTCTGCATTCACTTCCAGGTCTATAATGTGTACATGGCGGGCAGGCAGCTGTGCTCCAAGCGTTACCGTGAGTTCGTGATCCTACACCAAAACCTGAAGAGGGAGTTTGCCAACTTCCCATTCCCCAAGCTGCCTGGGAAATGGCCTTTTTCCCTGTCAGAGCAGCAGCTGGACGCACGACGCAGAGGCCTTGAAGAGTACATGGAGAAAGGTCAGGCGGAGAGAAGGGGATGTACGGTTTCTAGAAAACATTGGTTCAGTCAGATTGTAGTAATTCGTATCATCCTTTCTGAGGTTTGTAAAGTGAAGTAATGGGGGCAAAAGTGTGGAAAGGTCTGTGATAAACACTCCGAAGTGCATAACTATACCTTTTTATTGTATTGCGTTGTATAACCACGGATATTTCACAAAAAGACAATCTTTACCTTTTATGTATCTGGTCTGTTGTCTGCAGTGTGCTCTGTACGGGTAATTGGAGAAAGTGACATCATGCAGGGGTTCCTGTCTGAATCAGATGAGGTAAAAAGAAACAAACACTCCCATGTTTGTGTCGCTCTGCAGTTGCATGTGACTCACCGTGCAGTTTGTCTCCCCTTCTCATGACCCAGAACTATAACGGCGTGTCAGATGTGGAGTTGAGAATAGCCATGCCCGACAAAACCACGCTCACCGTTAGAGTTTGCAAAAATTCTACTACTGACCAGGTCTACCAGGTAAACAGGCCTGAGCCACTGTGAGCATTGTAAAGCCGACCCGATTACAGTCATCTTGCAAATGTTTTACTCTTTCTGTTTCCTTTTTTCTTAACTCTCATTCTGTCTTTCTGTTTTCCTCTCAGGCTGCGGTAATGAAGCTGGGGATGGACAGTGTAACAGCCAGCTATTTTGCTCTGTTTGAGGTCATCAACCACACCTTCGGTGAGTAAGAACACGTAGTTGAGCTTTGAGTTTGCGTGTGTGTTCCTTTGCTACGTGGAGAAAATGTTTCCCAACTTTCTTTGAAATCTTGCATGCAGGTCACAAGAGTACAGAATGGTTTCTTTCAGCCCAAAGAATGAATTGGAAGTTAAGAGTGTTGTATCATGTGGAGAAAGTCATCCATGTTTTTTTATCAGTGGCAGATTAAATCATCATAAATATTTACATTCCTTCCACTCTCCGAAGTCTGTTTTATTTCCAAATTGGAGGAAGAATTCTTGGCGCAAAAAACAAAATGATGAAATCGCCTTTTCACACTGGTGACCTTTTTGCATCGTTGTTCACTTGAAGATATGTTTTCTTCATGTGAGCTCTATAATGTATAACCAGACTCATTTCACTGTCCTTTTAACCCAATAAGCATCTGTTGGCTGCTTCAAGGTTTAGATATGTTTCCTTAGTCGAAGCTACTTGAATTCAGTCTGTGTCCGTATTGCACGGACAACAGATTGTTTTGACCCGATGATGGTGCTGAAGCAAAAGTCAAAGGATCACCGATGCTTTCCTGACTTCATTTTTTCAGTAGATGATATTTGCAGTGGGTTTGTCAGTTGATTGTCTTTTCTCTTTTTACTGCATACCACCAAGATGAGAATATCAAGCATCTAGTATCTAACATATGTGACACTAATCTTTCCTGTGGTTTGCATTTATAGCAACAAACGTCGATAAACTAGGTAGCGTGTCAAGATTTTTGAACAAGGCTTTTTTTTTTCTCGCCACGTAAGAATGGTACGTCACTCTCTTTCATTCCCTCCCTCCCTTTTGTCTCTCTCTCTCTCTTTCTCCCTCAGTGCGTAAGCTCGCCCCCAACGAGTTCCCCCACAAACTGTACGTACAGAACTATACCTCAGCCATCCCAGGAACCTGCCTCACCCTGCGCAAGTGGCTCTTCACTACAGAGGAGGAGATTCTGCTCAATGACAACCAGCTTGCTGTCAACTACTTCTTTCACCAGGTGTGTCTGTCTTTCTTTTTTTATGTGTGTGTGTGTGTGTGTATATGAACGTGCTTTTTGCGGGTTTGCTTTAACAGTGTCCCCTATCGTTGCAGGCTGTAGATGATGTGAAGAAAGGCTTCATCAAAGCAGAGCAGAAGTCCTACCAGCTGCAAAAGCTGGCCGAGCAGAAGAAGCTGTCCATGGTCAGTCTCTCACATGTGGACAGACACCACACAGCTACTCTACGACTGTTCCTGAATGACTTACAGAGGCAGATATTATAGTTCAGTGTGGTCAATGTGATCCCCTCTCTCCCACTTGTTAAGTCTCCCTTCACTGTGTGTGATATAACAGAGAGAGTGTAGGGTTGACTGGGGAGGAAAGTGTGCATGAATAGATTAGCCTCTCTACTTAGAGATTAAACACTCCGACCCTGTGTTCAGATCAGTTTGGCTGCAGACAATAACCAAGGTGTCTGACTGTTCTCTGCTTTTTGGCCATAAAGCTCAGATACAGTCCAGCATCAGAACTACATATTGTCATATATAGTAAAAACATCACTATCTTGTCTCCTCTGACTCTTTCCTTCCTTAGTATATGAGTTTGTTGAGGGATTGCGAGGGCTACAATGAGATCATATTCCCACACTGTTCCTGCGACTCCCGACGTAAAGGCCACGTCATCACAGCCATCAGCATTCACCACTTCAAGCTGCACGCTTGCACCGAGGAGGGGACACTCGAGGCAAGGAGCAACTGTTTGTTAGTTTGCGCGTGTGTGTGTGTGTGTGTGTGTGTGTGTGTGTGTGTGTGTGTGTGTGTGTGTGTGTGTGTGTGTGTGTGTGTGTGTGTGTGTGTGTGTGGACACATTTTCTGTGCATGATGGAGCGAGTGTACTAAAGCCTCAGTGTTGCTCCAGAACCAGGTGATTGCATTTGATTGGGCGGAGATGCAGAGATGGGACACAGATGAAGAGGGCATGGCCTTCTGCTTTGAATATGCACGAGGAGAGAAGAAACCGCGCTGGGTCAAGATATTTACACCCTATGTGAGTATCTCACACGGATTATTACACATGTGCTATAATAGTCAAATTATTCTAGTGACAATAGAGCTCTTACAGTTGCAACATTTATAACAGCTTTGTCATCTTTAAAAACTTGACATGTCTTGATATCCAGTGTTTAAATTCATGTTGCGTAACATCAGAACCTGATTGTCTTTGTAATTTTAAGGAACAGTTGGGTGAGAAGATCGATACCACTCTCAAGTTACCATTAGCAGCCCGCTAGCTCAGCATAAAGACTGGAGAAAGAAATACAGTCTGGCTCGCAGCACATCTAAAGCTCACCTCTTGTTTGTTTAGCTGTTTCTTGGAGACTCCAGGAAGTTAAAGGTCCCAGCCACGAAAATAGTCCCAGGCACATAACGCCCCCTAAAACTGCACATTTCCTTTTTAAGGCGCGGTCGCACGAATGCAGGCAAGTGACCATCGCCTGCCGGGGGGATATTCGCCTGACAGTTCACCTACGGTCAACTCCATGTGAATACCAATTTGATTTGCCACCAGACAAATGTTTTTCACCCGCTCACTCGCATAGGATTTCGCGGATGTGTGACCGTGCTTTTACACTTCAGTTTTTGTGTGGAATAAATATAGATACATGTTCATTCGTAAGATTTACAGGTGATGGTCGATGTATATTCTTAGCAATTGACAAAGCTAGGCTAGCTGTTTCCTTCTGTTTCCAGTCTTTGTGCTAAGCTAACCAGCTGCTGGCTGTGATCTTGAGACATGAGAGTGGAATCAATCTCGTTATCTAACTCTTTGCCATGAATTTCCAAAAAAAACGTATTTGTCTTTTAAATCTAAATTTCTGTTTCTCTCTCTGTATTTGCCGTGCATGGCTGATGTTCAGTTTAACTACATGCACGAGTGCTTCGAGAGAGTCTTCTGTGAGCTAAAGTGGAGGAAGGAGGTAAGGACCATCCGTGAACAGGCTAGCCTGCTATATTACAAGCCTTCTGTTGTGTCCTTCGCTTATTCCTGCAATGTGTGTGTTCCTACAGGTGGAAGAGGAGGCTACAGACAAGGACAATAAGAACTGCAGTAAAGATGGTATGTGTGGCAAGGTAAGGCTTTGCCTGCCTCTGTCCGGTACATGATTAATCAAGAGCTTGGATGAATCTTTCTGTTTTCTGTCTTTTGAGTTTGTGCGTCTTCTTCCTGATTGCCGTTTCTGTTTCAGAATATTTTCCAGCTGCTGAGGCACAGAAGGGATGGAGGCACCTAGGAAGGGAGATTGTTACCTCTTAACTAGACACCGTCGTCGCCGACTCAGCTCAGTTCAGCCCTCATCTAGCCCCAGACCCAGCAACACTCCTATACTATTAACTACATGGTCATCGTTTATACTCCATCAGCTACAACCTCAGAAGCTACCCCCCCCCCCCCCCCCCCCACCCCCTCGATACATGCAAACCAACAAGCACCTGCAAATGAACGAATCGAATAATCCGAAGCATAAACGGCTACAGACACATGAACCAGAACTCTTGAATCCAGCGCACCATCATCTTGCATTAAAATAGAGCTCTGTCCAAAAAGACTTGGTCATGGATTCATGCAATCCTTCTTCTTATTGGCAGGGACTTGAAGTGGAATGTGACTTGTACATGTGGACGGTTTGACCCTCCTCTGAAGGAGTCCTGCTGGGAAGAGAAAGCTGAAGTGAATAAGAAAATATTGTTGGACTTAGCAGAGAAAGTGAGGCTGTTTAACGCAGATAACACTGATCAGAGATGCTGACCACAGGAAGACACTTGGTCTTCTCCATTGACGGATGGGAGCAGCAGTTCTTCTTTGTCTTTTTGGCCAGTTGTTGGCGTGCAAAGTGTGTTCGTGCCTGCTAACGATGCGTCCAGGGGGCTCCCAAAGGCAAGGAGCCAACCAGAGTGAGGCCATCAGAATGTAAGTCACAGCTGAATTACACCACATTTTCATCTGTCTGTCTATCGATTTGCATTTATAAAAGATAACTATTAACATTGTAATGTGGCAAAAGAGAGAGGGGAGAGAGAAAGTGGACATTTTTTTTATTTATTTTCTTTTTTGCTGTGTTTATTTCACACATGAGCTGGAACAACGTTAAACTTTAGACTAATGTTGCACTTTATCAAATAGTATTAACAGCCTCCAAATGTGGGAAATGTAACCTAAGAGGCAGATAGTGATCATATTACTGGAACTAGCCTGGGCTTAGTTTACATTCATTTTTGACTGACTACAGTATGATTATGTGCTGCAACATCAAATGAGTCATGCGTTCAACGTTTATGTATTCATAGTATAATGTGAACACTCCATGCAAATGTTTTGAGGCCATTGTAGAGCGGCATTGATGACGAGGAGCACTGATCAGAAGGTGGAGTACATCATGTTTATCATGTATTACCCAAAAGAGACAGCAGGGGTCCTCCTCCTCCTTCCTGCTCCCCTACCGCCCTGATTACTCCCACCGGATTTATTATATGCCTGCAACCCAGAAGACCTTTCCACTCGCAGCACTATTTATCTCTGTAGCTGGTACTGCGCTGTACTGTTGAACCACTTCTGCACTTTGGATTCAGGTTAAGTGGAAAGAGGAGTTCTTTGCAAAAAAAAAAAAAAAAAAAGGGCAGCTTGCACACTTTATCAACATGATGTATATGAAGATAACGGAGCACATTCACTAAAGGCTTTGTAGCAACTGATCACAGAACTGTGGTGCAGTTTAATAAACATTCAAGCTCCAGCCCAGTTGAGCCCAGTTAATGTTGTCATTCCTAGAATAATGTAATAAACATAATGTAATACGGTATAACAGAGTTATCTGATGCAACGGTGACTTCAGGCTGACAAAAATAAAAAATGTAATTACAGGTTATAACATCATTAGAATATGATTACATGCTGCCATTAAATAGGAATCATTGCTCAGTGCGATATTTTAACTACCATCACCTCATTTAGAAGGACATTTAGGAAAGTTCATATTTTATCCAAAAGATACTACATGTTCAGCTGCTTCGAGCTTTTACACAATGAGCCCTCCTATCGGTGTCATCATGGTTTATTATCACGAATATAAGAACATTCCTAAATCAATTTACTGTATGTCATGATATGGCTGATTTATGCAAAATCACTTGTAAGATAATCAAACTGATGCTCAAAGCACAGACCTGTGTTGCATTACATGTGTGCAAAAACAAAAACATCACCAACTGATGTTTGTTACTTCTTAAGTAAGTCATGTGATCAGTGTACGATGCCAGTGAACGTTTGTAAATGCTAATATTCAATTTTCACCCGTCCTTAACTCCTGCCTGGCTCGTAATGAGAATGTCAGCAGTATTTTTTGTTAGCTACAAGCAAGTTAAGAGTCATAGATTGAGATCAGTGGCTCTCGCTAAGACTGCTTGTTTTAATGATGGTGCTGATCACAAAGGCCATTTAGGGTGATTAATGAGCTTCAACATACCTTGCCGGGTGTGTAAAGGAGGTCTGATTGAATGTGTTGAGCCTTGAATTGAGAGAATTGCAATCCTAAAGGCTGAAAGCATTTCCCAGGATCCTTGTCTGTGTTATTGGACCGTGTCTGACGTGGTCGATTGTCTGACATTGTCTGATCTGCCCACCTTCAAGTTCAGTGCTCTCTCTTTCTCTCTCTCTCTCTCTCTCTCATCCTGACTAAAGTTAAGTGTCACTAATTGTATTTATTTCAGTAAGATTCTTTCTTAAATTCAGCATCTGTTAAGTTTTTTCACCTGATATTGTTTTGGCTTTCGAAAAGTCACACTAAGAGGAGGAGGATGGAGATTGACAACCTGCAGATTCTTTGACATGTTGAAATGTAAAATTTAAGACAAAGTGTTTGGTTACGTCGCTTACTGTAATAAATTGTAACATATTCTTTTAAATAAACCGATTTATTGATGCAAAGTTAGTTTTTTTGCTTAATATTGTGTGTGTGTGTGTGTGTGTGTGTGTGTGTGTGTGTGTGTGTGCGGATGTGGCTCAGGGAGTAGAGTGTTTCTTAATGCTTAGGATGGGTTAAATGCAGAGCTCAAATTTCCCTTTGTCGTGTTGTGTACGATTGTGTGTGACGACATAAAAGGTTTGAGTATGTTTTGTTTTTTTAATGTGTGTGTTGGAGTCGAGTCACACAAGCAGACTTCACTCTCACTTTGTGTACCCACATCTGTTTTCTTTCTTCCCGCTTCCTGCATTGACGTCCTTTTCTCTCAACAACTCCGATGTATTTTAATTAGATCTGGGAGACAATTACCCAGCAGGCCGTGGAACGGTCATTCCATATCGACTTGCATCGAGGGTCTGCATCACGTAATTAAAAGCTATTGACTGTTGGTGGTCTGGGATGTTATCTTGAGACATCTGAATTTTGAAAATCCAACATCCCTGGGCCAGAAACCTGTCCTGGGAGACGTCTTGCTAATGGTCTGACTTCAGTGTTGATCAGTTTCTTACCACAACTTCATCACAGAAATATGTGTAGCTTTGAAGGATCATGGAATTAAAAAAGAAACCAAAACAAGTAGATTTTTTTTGCCTATTTGTAGGTTTAAATATTTCAAAATGTGACATTGGACATCTGAAATATTAAGATTATTATAGTTGGTTAGGCCAGTCAGAAAGACTGAGAAAAATATTTAATTATTGTGTGTATTATATCATTTCAGTAGTTTTACTATCAATACAGGACATTATATTAACAATTGCTCCCTCTCTTATTTTCCCCCCATGAGCAAACAGAACTGAACTGACAGCACAGTCAGTAGCAGTTTACAGGACGCGTGTGTGTGAGTGTGTGTGTGAGCACTAGAGAGACATAAAGAGACAGAGAGCTTTAGGAGTATGCGTAGTTACTGCATTAGGTCTGCAGCAGGCTTCCTTACTTTCACCACTTGGTGTGCGTGAGTGGGTTTGCGGTTGCTCTGCTTCGTGTGGATGTGGGTGCAAATTTGTGCGACAAATGCAGCCACACATTGCCCCTTGATATTGCAGAAATATTTATGCATCCCACTCTCCTGCTCGCTGCATCAAGCTCCACTGGTTTGTATGACTGTGTTTGCTTCTCCTCTGAACAAACAGCTCTGCGTGAAGTGTCAACACAGGACAAGTGACAGAGCCGCCGAAGGAGGGGAGCATCTTAGATTTATCACATGTGCTGTATTGCTTCTCTCAGCTGTGTGAGGAAGCAGCAGCAGCAGTCACACGGGCAGAAGGAGCTGCGTAGGCCATTGAAATGCACAGCTCCACTAGTAAACTGCCCTGCCTGCACATATACTGTACTCACAATGAAAAAGTTGAAAGCCTAATTAATAGCCTCCGGGCTGAAGGTTGGGGTTAGGCAGTGCCAAAACAGCAATTAACCAAATTCAATCATCGGTGTGTTTGCATTATTATGTCCAGTCACCCCTAAATGCTGGTCTAAGAACAGTTTAGCAGCAGCAGCATCCCGGAGGAGGATGGGGAGGGGGGATTCACTCCTCTCTTCTCCCTCTCCCATTAATGAGCAATCAGTAAAAAACTTTATCATCTCCTATTGGCTTTCTCAGCACTTTTTGCCCCCCCTTCTCTGTTTCTCTCGATCATGCAACCACCATGTTCTTTTTCCTACTCTTTCATTTTGCATCCTCACCATCTGTGTGCCCCTGCATAGCCCTCCCTTCCATCTCTCTTTCCGTCTTTCTTCCCTTTTGCTCTCTTTATTGCTGCGCTTCATTACCTCCATCTTGACTCTCCTCTCTCTGGCTCTTTTTCCTCTCACCCCCTCACTCATCCTGTCCTCTGTTTCTGTGTCCTTAAAACTCAATCGAAGGGACGAGAGCCAGAGAATAGGACATTTGATGCATGTCTGGAGAGTACAAAACACAAGGTCTGTTTATTTCACAATGTTTACAGCTCGGTCTGTCACAACTCATTGGCATTCAAAGTGACCGACACTCAAAATGTGTGGCGCGGTTTACATTCAGGGTACAGCCAGGGTCAGAGAGATTATATTTTTCTGCATTCACAAAAGTCTGAGTGCGTGGATGAAAGACGGTTTGCTGCTGTGGTGCGTGTGTGTGTGTGTGTGTGTGTGTGTGTGTGTGTTGCACAGAAGGACAATGTTGTTCCACATTATGCATAAAACCAGAGCTTTGAAATATCTGCTCTATGCTGTGACAGCCAAAGTCTATCCCATATTTGGAAACAAGGCAGAGTTCTTTAAAAACCCTTCTCATCTGAGCTATCATGTCATTGAACAGTTTCATTTTATAGAAAGTGAATAACAAATCCATTTTGAAAGATATGGAGACAGAATCGTTGGGGTGTCTGGATGCATGGCTTGTGTTGCACTTTCTTCCTCGTGATGTTATATGTTGTAGTATTGTCTGTTCTTCTGTTATTGTGTCTGTTTACACTCACTTTCTTGTGCTGCTGCATATCTTGACCAGGAGTCCCATTAAAAAGAGATTTTTTGAATCCCAATGGGACCTATCTTGGTTAAATAAAGGTTAAAAACTCTGGCGGTAGTTGTCTCGGGATATTCGTTTTTTTACTTCATAGTAAGCACTTCAGTGTACTATCTAACGTGATTGTTAAAGTTGCTGCAGAATGAATCACCAATGTCATCACATTACATATGGATGATGTTCAGGCTATATTATTGTGATAAAAGAGTGTTGGAATAAATACTGATCACAATGACTTTAGGCATCGTATTGAAAGGGAACCCTTGGGAAAACCTTTAATGAAATAGAAAAATCAATTCTAAAAAAACTCATAAAAAAATAAAATCCTGTAATGAAACCTATCACTGGTAACAAACTGTGTACCGCTGTATAAATAGTATTTGGGGAAGCTTGTAACAAAACAGCACACAGACTATGGTCTGTATTGTCAGGAAATGCAGGTTTACATGCAGCACGTCAGTGTCCAGTTTCTCTATTGAGCATCTTCATGTAGCATCGGCAACGGCAGTACAAATACTTTATAACAAATTTTGGTAAAGTCATGCTTCCCAGTTATCACATAAATTCTAGGATGATTTCTTTTAGGATCCTCATTCACAAAACTCTTCATTTCTCATTTCACTGTCAAATAATATAAAATGAAAGGTACAAATCCACAAACGGTTATCCATATTCCAGTCAAGCATTTGCTGCTCTGTTGAAGGTTTCAGTTGACAGTTAAAAGTTAAACTCACCAAAACAATTAATGCATGAGAAAATTCTTTGACTGTTTTGGGCAGGTGGGAAAACAAAACACATCAATCAAACATTCATAGAAAACATTGCAAAGAGGATGTGTGAACAGCAAATGCGAGCATCGTCAGGTATATTGTATTGTGAAAAAATGGCGCGCGCAACAAAATAGCATCATAACATCTTTGCATCACAGTCCACTCCAGCTTACTGAATAGGAAATATCTGCTGTTGTATGTCCCAGTGTTATTAGCAGCCATTGTTCTTCCAACAAATCCTAAACATCTCCCACTCTCCCATATTTCTCTGTTTTTGGTCCGTCAGAGGAAGTCTTTTGACAGAGCCTCTCCAAAGTTGGGTGCAGCCATGAGAATAGCGATGGTACAGATGACGTTGAAAACACTGAATCCCATGAAGCACAGGCGGTCGATGACAGCTGCAGCAAACTGCCACTGCTCTGCCAAACTGAGCTGCCGGTCCTGCTCCTTAACGCGTTCGACTAAGAACTGCACCTCCATCAGAAGAGCCTGCAGCTGGTTGTCTACAGCCACAGATCGGATCACACCGCTGTGGGTATGTATAGCAGCTGATCTCCCTGCTACAACCCCAGCCTCTAGGCCGCAGGGTCCAGAGGATGTGGTTAATGGATCAGGGTCCAGGGTCAGTGGAGTTTCCTGTGGGGGGCTCCCAAATTTGGAAGATTGGATGTGGTGATGGATGGGTGTATCTCCAGCTGGTCCTCCTCCTGCCTCTGCTCCCTCTCCTTCCCCTCCACCGCTGAACCTCCCATGACTTGTGGCTCTGCTCCTCTGAACTGGCTCCAGCTCCGCAGTGGTCTGGAAGGTTTGGAAGCCCATGTAAAACAGATGGCCATTGGGCTGTGGATGTGGATTGGGGCTGGGATCTCTGTGGATGGGATTAGGGAGGATAACAGCCTGAGAGTTGGGCCGGTGGGGCAGTGGGTGTGACAGAGTGTGGTTGAGCTGAGCCAGGCTGGCCTGCAGGGAGTTGAGGCTCTGGGGGAGGTTGGAGGGCACTGGCGTGGGGATGGTGCCGGTGGTTGTGGTGGTGGTAGGAGAGGACAGGGTCTTGCTCTGAGAGTCTACTTGGCAGCTGGAAAGAGGAGGCTCCACTCCCTCTCCTGGACGCTTCATCCGCAGAAACCAAGGAACCCACTGCAGCAGAACCAAGTTCACCTGACGCACAAGGACACAAACACTGATAAGAACTCTTAAATGTTTCTTTATGGTCTTAATTGGCCTTCAACAGATTGCTGATCGGGGTTAACAATATCTAGTATTCTTATCATGCCACATTGAACCTCTAGTTTTTAATCTTGATATAACATTTTTCACCATCTTAATTACAAATCACCAGGTTACCAAGCTTGTGTAGTCTTGTAAGGAATATTGTTAAGATTTGACTTTGGTTATAAGCCACCGTGAATCTCATACGAGACTTTATTTCGTAACATTATTATGCAGTGCGCGTTTCACCTGCCTTGATGAAATAAAATTAGACAGGCTATAAAACTCAGCCGCAGGCTTTTAACCAGAACTAAGAGATGGGATACTGTTACATCTGTTTTTGCTTCTCAACACTGTCTGTCTGTTCATTTTAGAATAGATTCAAAACTTTTACTGTCAACTCTCAAAGCACTGCACAACCAGGCACCCTGCATTACTGAATTTAACGGTCTTCACATAATCTGTGGCCTCTTGGCAAGAGCCAAATATAAAGACCAGGGGTGATCAAGCGTTTTCTTGTTAAGGCCCCAAGACTCTGAAACGATCTGCCAAAGATCTGCTGAGCTGAATGTGTGCCTTCTTTTAAATCACTTTCATCAATTTTATCCAGTTAGTTGGGGTTTTTTTGCATTTCATTGTACTATTTTATTTTACTTTTTTGTTGTAGAGTATTTTCAATATCATTTTTGATATTTAGAAAGGTTCTCCGTGGATAAAGTTTATTATCGTAATTATTACACTCACCCAACATGGCATGTGTGCACTGTTGGGGCTGTGGTGATGGAACTGAAGGACGATGACTGTGGCCACTACTGACATCCCGACAATCACCATGGTGCTGACAAAGTACTGACCTGAGACAGACCGGAGGGAGGCACATTTCACTCATTAGGGTGCTGACAATCTGTATGCTATGAACGATGTCAATTCCCCCTTCCAAAAAAACCACCAAAACTCACGGACAGATACACACATGACCATTATGCAAAAGGAAACTGACCTATCAGGGGCACAGAATCTGAAGTGGGGGGCATAATCTCTGCAACCATCAGCATGAAGACAGTCAGAGAAAGAAGAACTGTGATGCCTGGTGGCAGAAACAGGACACCAGGGATTAGTGGGATGCAACAAAAAAAAAAAAGAGGAGAGAATCCTCAAGAGAAGAAAGTAAGTGAGTGCGCTTATTGGGACAGTATATTTGGTGCAGTAGACTTCTATCTACAACCGTCGGTCTGTCTGACAACCCGAGGAAAACTCATTTGATTTCTCAAATTCCCTCTGGCTTTGTCTCTGTCTTTTCTCTGCCTCTACTTCTCTCCGTCCCAGCCCTCCTCACACACTAAAGCTCTGCTTAGCTGATTGAAAGTTTTCCAGTAATGTTGACAGAGAGATTGTAAGAGAAACACTAGAAGAGTGAAATAATCCAATGCTTTCACAAGGAAGGAGTAACGAATATGCAGCAAGAAATATATTTGATCTTACAGCAGTCACACATCTAGTTTTACGTATCTCATATATTCTCAACCGTTCTCATTATAACATCATCCCTCACCCCTGTTCTTCTCCACCCTCTCCTCTTATTACTCCTCACCCAGGCTGATCTTCTCCCCCGAGTTGGAGGGGAGCAGGAACACCACCAGAGTCATGGAGGAGAGGAGCACAACGGGGATGAGGAGGTTGAGAGCGTAAAACAAGGTCCTCCTTCGTAAGGTCACCACAAAGGTGACATCGAAGTAGGGCTCTGGACAGCAGTCATAGAAAACTTCGTGACGACCTCCAGGGACCTCTAAAGTGGAAGAGAAAAGGCGCAGGTGCGGCAAAGACGGCATTATAATACACCAGTCAGTGTGTGAAATGAGAAGCATATCAAAAAGATCTGACATAGGACCAGCATCATAAAAAGATGCTGTTGAACACAGAATCTGTTGTTTATACATTACTGATTTGTTTTGTTGTATTTTCATTAGATGAAATGTTCATAAGGCAACTTCTACTAAAATCGTTGGCGGTAATGTCAGCTCTGTTACTAAGCAACACTGTTTGTCTTACCCACTAGGTCCCACTCTCCGTTGGTCATGTATCCTGACACATCTGCCTCCTTCATTTGGAGGTCTAGCAGCCAGCCGTCAAATGTCCACGAGCCAAACTTCAGTTCACAGCGCTGGACGTCAAATGGAAACCATCGCACATCCACGGCACATGTGCTGACAAATATTCCTTTCAAAAAAGCAGGGGAAATAGTTTAAAGTGAAAGGGAAGTTGATATCAAAGTCAAGTTAATTCATCTCAAGATGTTACTTGAAAAAACATGTTTTTTGTTGCAGCAATTTGGAAGAAAATATTAAATAGATTGCAGTAAATATAGGATGAATTTGCCGCAGCATGAGTAATACTGTGTGTGTGTGTGCAGAATGACTGAAGACGTAGTTTGGTTTTGAGGACCAGATGCTGATTAATAAGAACGTACCTGGAGGCAGATACTCACAGAAGCCACTGGAGTTAACCAGCACGTTAGTCTTAAAGGTGGCATCAAACTTATCATGAGCACTGGAGGATAGTAACACAGGGGTGAGATAGTTTAGAGCTCAGCGGCAGCACTGGGGGTGTGTATGCTTATATTCCACACGTACCTGTTGTAGAGCAATATGTCAGGTGTCCAGACCTGGTCAGAAGTGAACCGGAGGTTCTTAACTCCAGGATACTCTGACTGGTTCCACTGGAGGTAGTGGTCATACCACTGCTGGGAGACACAAGCACAACACTGGTTTTACATATTAACATAATAAACATGACAACATGCACACACATACATGGACACACATTCTGATTCTCCATATTGTTCTTTTTTTATTTATTGTAATTTCAGTCTACACTGTTCACAAAACATATCCTAGAAAAGGGATCCCTCCTCTGCTGCTCTTCCTGCTCTTCTTTTTGGGATATTTTGAGGAGCTTTTTTTCCTACAATTCAAATCAATGATTGAAGGACAGAAGGTGCCGCATGCTGCACAGATTGTAAAGTGTGATTTGTGATTTTGGGCTCTAAAATGAAGATTGACTTGACAGAGACAAATAGCCTGGTGAATTCTCATGATATTCACAAAATGTTCCATGCGAGTGATGGGAGGCATACACAAGGCTTTTCACAACACAGATCGATATCACAGTTCATATTATTCACAACACTCACCATCTGCAGCCAGGCATTCGTGGTGAGGATCTGGTTCTTTTCATCCTTGCATAACACAAAACAACACAACAGCAACTTTGACATTCATGCCAATAATGGTAATTTGAATTGAATTGAATTGAGAGAGAGATCCCTCTGTAATGTGATTCCAGTTAGGATGGAAGACATAATCCACATTCTAAATTCAACTAAAGCTAATGTAATCTGATAAATCAAGTGGGTATCTTCAGTCTTTCTAGCATGATATTCCCTCTTTGTGTTATTATCCCCCCTGCTGCAGCCCAAAAACGAAATGCTGTCCATGGAAACACATGATAAGATTACTTCAACTACTTCGTTTGGGAGATTTGATTTGACTGATTCAGACTCAGGAAACGTCGTATGAGCTATAGCTGAACTTTTGAAAGCACTTTTACATGGGAATTACATTAGGAGGAGATACACGGTATTGTTTCTTGTTGGAATGTATTGCATCAGTGTATGTGCATGTTTATGATACATGTGTGCCATGCCTACCACATCCATGACCTGCATCAGAGTAAAGGAGAACTGAACAGTGAGACTCTGTGAATCGTTGGCCACTGGCCTCTCCATGGGGTTGTAGTCCCTCAGCAGCTCCCTGAGCAGAAACCGCTGGTGGGGACCCTGCACTGATACTGAATGAGGCAGAGGGAGGGAGTTCAATGGACGGGATGGAAAAATGGGAGAGTTGCATCAGAAAAGAAGAGCAAGAGAACATGGGACTGTTACAAAGAGAAAACTGTGCCAGCAAAGATAAGAGAGCACCGAAGAGAGAGCAATAACAGTAAAATGGTCTTATTACGATGATCGATGGAGAGTTTGAGGAAAAGTGGTGTTGAAATTGAAAGCCAGGGGAACGAAAGAGAAGGAGAAACAAACTAACAGAGGGAGAGTAGAGATGCTCCAGTAGAGGTAAAACAGAGGGTGGGCTTTTAGGGGTAAAGGAAAAGGTAATGTTTTAGAGATGTAGCACATATACTGTATATATATATATATATATATATATATATATATATACACAGTATATCTACAGCACAGTGGATTACACGGGACAAGACGGATTGAAAATGTGTGAGAAAACAATGAGAAAAGAAGGCAGGAGACCAGAGAGAAATAATCCTTTTCCTGCTAATCAATATACATATCTGATTGATCACCAGCAGACAGTCACAGTCTTTCCAATCGCTGTAAAAATTGTCAGTTTCATTTCATGCAGGAAATAGTGAGGCTGTTAAACACTGACACACACCTGACAGACACACACACACACACACACACACACACAGCACTCAGAACGATGAGAACAGAGAGCTGCCTCTCTCTTCACCCTATAACTCCACCAAAGCCCTCGATTCACTTTTTAATTCATTCTCCACACGGCAATCACTTTGATGTGGAGGGAGCTATCATTGAATGAATGAAAAAACTAATTTACACTTTAAATAGCCCATTCTGCAGGCAAACAGCAGATACAACTTCAGTAGGAGTGCTAAATAGTCTTAAATGAATGGACTTACTGCATGGTGTCAAATCTATATTCATTTACTCTACCTTAATTAATATCAATATGAATCCAGAGATATGCCTATAATTCAGATGAATAGTCCCTACTGTCAAGTATATTATCCACTAGCTGCCTCATAATCCCCCTCTCTTTCTCTCAGCATATCTATCTATCATCCATCCATCCATTACAGTATTGTCTTATAGCAACAACAAAAAATGCACAGCTCAGCTCTGCAATTTGCAGTAAAGATGATTGCATTTCATACTGCTGCTTGCTCATTACAAACAAAATAAATCCATTTTTTTCTGTCTGCCTACACACCAACAGACTCTCTCCCGGTGTGGAAATGAGCTGCGGAGTGCACAGTTATTAGGAACAGAGTGCTCGCTTGCACAAGACATGCAAGAGCACATACAGTATATACAGCACATGTGGAAAACACACACGTGTTCGAGCACAGTATCTGTCAGAGCACCAATGAAAGTCACTCACCCCGGAGCAGAGTAGCGAGTATCAACAGCCAGAGAGCCACAGCCTGCCACATACTGCATTCCTCGGGATAAACAAAGAAAGAGTGGAAGAGGGAGAAATAGCGAGAGGAGATGAGGGAGGAAGGAAAAGGGGAGAGTGAGATAGAGAGCAAGGTCTGAAGAGGAAGAAGGATTATCGAGAACAAATGGAGAGAGTGCGATACGGGCAGAGAAGGGAGAGGGAGGGGAAGAGAGAGAGCAAGAGATGCAGAGTGTGTGAGAGATGCAGTGAAACGAATACTCCTCTGAAGAGGGAGATATGTAAGAGTCAGTCAGATACTGAGATCTGTGCACACCAAATTCACCCTTCATGCTTCTCTGCTCATTCATTCTTGCAGACTTTCTGATATGTGCTTATCTGTCATCACATCAGTCATCCTCTGTTATTTCACCATGGACTACTCACTGTTGTATCTCCCTGGTGGTGTTAAGGATCTAGAAGGACATTACATTTTTGAGTCTATGGATTCAATTCATGGGATTATATTGCAGCAGTGATGAAGGTGTCTTCAAAGTTTGGGAGGAAAATTAATGGAGCAAAAATATTATTGTCTGTGTAAACACGTGGCAAGGACACATCACTCATTTTTAAATCAGTCAAACAACAATTTTAAGTTACTATAGTACAGTCAATTTCTAATCTTCACCAGCCAGCAATATTCGAAAGCTGCTTTGCTTTTTTTCTGTAACTGACATCACAGAGTCATGGTGACACCCACTGGATGTGTTGGCAAAGTGCAACATGTATTTTGTTAAATAGAATCTGTGGTCTCCTAAAAGCTCTCTATATTATAAACACACTAATTGTAAGTCCAAAGCTCTACAAACATCCCTTGACTTTTACCAAAGAGGATGGTTGAGGAAGACACCTGCATAGTCAGAATTTAACTGAATAGACCCTGTCCCGGAGGTTCTCACTTGTTTGTCAGCCAAGGACCCCATAGGCTACAAGATAGAGAATACATGGGGACCCCCTCATGTATGTCCTTTGGAATAATTTGGCATGTTTTTTTCCACTTCTTGGTAATGTTGTATTATTACACAAGAGTATATTATTCCAAATGATTCCACTGAATCTGAAAACGTTTCCCGGACCCCACTCTGAGAATCACTGGCCTAAACTGAAGGAAATAAAGTCAAACTTCACCCATGTGTTGATCAAGTCAGACTATACAGAGAAGGGAACCTTGCTTGAGCAACATAAATGTGTAATTTTGGTGGCAACACATTGTTGAAAGCTGAAAACTTCCCCCGTAATAGTACACAACTCTAAATGTAACGACAAAGCATGCCAAGGACACCGCTGAAAAATAGTCGAACCTTGCCGATGTAGACGCGTCATCCACAGGCGACGCGTGGCTCTGTGTTGGTCGCAATCAATAATCATCACTTTTTTCGCGCACCAGTTCTTTGATTGTTTGTCCATGGTATCGCCGTACCACCGCATTAAAATATTGCACACCAACAAGAGCTCGCTGAGGCGAAACACTGCGAGTTCAGGTAATCCATTAAAGCCATTGGGGGTTCTTTCAATTGTTCTAATGGCTTTGGTGAAGCGTGGGTGTGTATGCTTTTTCGTTAGCAGGCAATAGTTTGAAATGGTGCAGTGCCAGTGCGGTGCAGTGCTACTAGTCATGAGCTAGCAGGCTAGCTAACGTTAGCTGGAGGAGGAACGACGTTCAGTTAGCTGCTGCTAGCACCGTTACCATGGCTCTACCGTAACACACTGCGAGAGTTACACGTCCGAGCATGTGTGTGTCGTGTTGGTTTTAAAAGTCAGCAACACGTCCAACCTGTAGCTGCTCGAGCTAACGCGCAATGCTCCTTCTGAAACAATACGTCAAATAAAAAGCGAGGGATAACAGCCGTTATCCTTGGTGATTAACGTTAGCCCTCCTACAATAGTCCCTTTTGAAATGGGTAACAGCGTGTATCCATCTCTCCTCACTCACATAAACCCCACTGATGGATGCATTCAGAGGGTCACATTGCCAGGTTGATTTTTAAATGTCTATTGTAGTAAAAGCGACTGTGCCCAGAGTTTAAGCTAGCAGTCTGGTGTGTTTTTCTTCATACACGAGCTTCAAGTTTTTAGAATTGTGTGCATAGTTAAATGGAGAACTGGAAGACGTCATGTTTTGACCATATTCATTTAAGGATGATGCAGAAAGGTGAAACTCTGTGTTTACTGGTTATAACCTAATTAGTATATTCACGAGTGTAATGTCAAGTATCCAGTAGTGTTTGGTACATGTGTAGTAGAAATGGAACACGCATTGGATTTAATATAAATTAACTCGTGCATTATTAATATGCTAATAATCATACTTTGATGTAGTCATATACTTTGTGTGAGTTTACGCTGCACTGCTGTTTAGGTTAAGCTGCATTTCAATGAGTGTAATTACTAGATGGGCTATATTGTTCTTTTAGGCCCAACATGAGTCTGAGATACACTTGTTTGTCACAATCCAGTAACACGATCTCAACGTTTCACTGTGATATTTGTGTCTCCCAAAATCTATTGCGTTACGGTCTCCATCTCTCTCCGTTGCATTTTTAATGTGACCTGAGCATGTGATGTCTGTGTCCTTTCTGCCACCGTGTGTGCTGTATACAGCATGCATTCATGTAGCTCCACGGTAACACAGGCACGGTGGTGGTGGTGGTGGTGGTGGTGGTGGTTGTGGTTGTTGTTGTTGTTGTTGACCACACAGAGCCACATGACTTGTCTATACGCAACACAATCTTCTGTCCATCCTTGAGTCTGTGTGCATTAGTCATGTCTGCCCTCGTTGGTGCGTCTGCTTGTCACGTGACCAACAATGGAAACCTAACTTGTCGTGAGAAATGAAATCGAAACTTAACTTAACTCGTGTCTGCTGGCCTCTTGTTTCCCTTTCCTTAGCACGGTTCAAGCGGTGGGTCCCCCCCCCCCTTAACTTTCGTGGTGCAATAGGCAGCAACGTGTGTCCAAGACGTGCGCACAGCATTTATAAGCGAGCGACATCACTGGTGTTTCCAAAGTGGATCTACAGAAAGGACCTCGCTCGTTCAAAGCGGAAGACCCTGCGCGTTACAAAGAAACAATGTTTACATATTTTTCTAACCTACAACCGGTTCCCTGCTTACTTCGCGTGTTTACTCTGTGATTCATGTATTGGAAGTTGTTTTTGCTGGGTCTCGGTTTGAATCATCTGATTATTGGGAGCTTTACAACTTCACTGTTTTTCACCGTTGCCACTTTGGTTTGAGATACTCAAGGTGAGATCCGCAATACTTTGTGGGCCCACTGGGCGTTGCGGTACCCGTAAATGTGGTATGTTGCATGGACATGTTAAGATAGGTGGAACACTACCACGTTTCCCTTCTGCACTGCTATGTGGACAGTGGACAGAGGTCTCAGTGATGGGGGAAGCGGTCACTTTGGACATCAGACATATTTCGCTGTGTCTTGACACAACAGCATGAAGTGTGCAAAAGATTCATCCGTTATCCAGCCCATGCTTCTCCTCCTCAGGCTCGCAGCAGTTGAGGAGTATAATAGACAGTGGATTCTGAAAAACAGAGTTGTTATTTTGGCTGTCAACTGTTGCCTTGCATCAGGGTCAAGATGAGTCAGCTCCAGCCCCGTTTGGCCCCTGGGCTTGTCGGTCCCCATTACTGTGATGAACCAACATTATGGTGTTCTCTACTAATGTGGCGGTGTTCAGGCTTGCTCAGCTCAATGTGATGGATCAGTGATGCTGACTGGGCCAGGGGCTTTGAAAGCTGACTCAGTATTGGGTGTCTCCTTGTTGTCCGTCTCACTGTTACAGACATTATTGAGTGTTGTCAGTTATGACACTTGAGGCTGAATCAATGTTTGTTGTATCAAAGAGGGATACAGGAATTCTACTCATTACCTTTCTTTTAATGTGTGTTTTTAGAGGAAGATATAAAGCTAGCTCTGCAAAGCCTTCTCTTTTATAGTCGGGACATCAGCTGGCAACTGCGTGCTTTTCTGTCCACAGCGTGTCACAGACAGGCCGCCCTTAACGTTCTTCTGTCCTTGGAAGTGTCCTTTTTGTCTGCATCAGTGTCTCACTGTTCCTGTCCGCTATGGATCCAGATACAGCAACAATTTGTCAGGCCAGAAATAAAACAGAAAAGTCACAAGAAGTTCTGAATTATTAATCACCATCCTTTTACCCTGGGATTAAGTTTCAGTGTGACTGGGAGAAACAATATGTCACCCTGCAGTATTCTTGTAGACTGGCGAGGGTGTAATCTGAACGTTGACAGCGTAGTTCTACGTTGGAGCTTATCTACCCAGCTATTTCATTGTCTACTGTATATTTTAATCTGCATTTCACGGAGGCAAGAATTTAGGATCACATCTTTCAGGCTCGTATAGATTCACTGAGTTATCAAGGACACTTGAGCAGGTTGGAGATTTGCCAGCAGTCGCCCGAACTTGTGTTATTGGCTGAAGCGGCAGTTTCTCTTTCCCTCCATTCAATCCATTGTACTCGATTAGATTATCTGTTGTTTATTTCTTCTTAATATTCTCCTCACATTGTTCTTTTGTTTGTATTTCAGGAGTTATGCTGTGACTGGCCTGCCCTGACTTTCCACCAGGCTCTGCTGTTTGTGCCAGAGGACGTACACTTATCAAGGAAGCTACACACCAAGCTGCACGGCCCCCTTCACGCTCAACCCCTGCGCTATGAGCAGAGGTAGAGGAGGGCCTCTCAGAGAACACTACAGCAGGCATCCACCACCTGACTCCCAGGCCAACGAGAATTACTACAGGCCTGGCCCATCCTCACTCTTCCCTAGACCTGGCCCACAGCAGAGCCCGTATTCAAGTTGCCACAACAGCCCTGTCCGTCCCGTAGTGCCCATACAGCCACCCCCAGCTCCTTCTCTCACCCCCTCCGCTCCATCTGTACCGAAGCACGGTAAAGCGGACCCTAAACCAGAGGCGCTTAACAGCTCATATAATCAGAATCACGGTCCTGCACCCAATTCCTTTCAGTACCAACAGGCAGAGTTCCTCAGAGGACACAGCTCTGAGGCGCCACAGTTCAGAGCCAGTCATCGTGGAGGGGGAGGAGTCCCAGACAGGCGTCCTAGTTCCTCATACCAGCCCCAGTCAGGCTACGGTAGATATTCATCATACCCCAACAACAGCCCAAGGGGTAGATGGGGGGGGGTATAGTCAGGACCAGACTTTTGGATACCCAGTAGCTCCACGCGGCAACACAGGCCCTCAACACCTAAATCAAAACCAGTTTCATGGTACAAACCACAACCCATACTCCAACAGACAGTGGCGCATCCCAACAGACTCTGTGTGTGACGATTTTCAGACGTTGTCTCTCCATCGAGACAGGCCCAACAGAGGAGGAGAGAGGTTTGACAGACAGTCTGCCTCCAGCAGTTCGGCAAATTCGCGCTCTACTAAAGTCGACATCACTTTCACTTCTGACATCCAGGAGCAGGTTTACAGGGCTTTGGCTGCTCTGAAGCCAAGTGAGGGCATCTCTGCAAAATTGTTAGCCAAAAAACTTCATCTTCCCAAAAAGATAGTCAACAAGGGTCTTTACTCGTTGGCGCGCTCACAGAAAGCCTTCAAGCAAGGACTCCTCCCCCCCGAGTGGAGTCTTTGCAGAGAACCTCTCAGAGGCGAGGAAGATCCACCTTCCCATTTGTGTGCCAGCTCAGGACACCCTCCAGAACCCGAAGCCAAGGTTGAGCTAAAAACAGAAACAGCAGAAAACAGGGGACAAAGCAAAGAAGAGAACTCTGACACAGAGTGTAGTTATTCTTCCTGCTCCTCTTCAGAGTCATCCGACTCTGAAGAGTCCCAGTCACCAGCAAAAGGGCAGCACCAGGAGAAACAACATCCCGTCACTACCAGCTCACCCGATCCAGCACTTCCCACAATGGCAGAACAGAAGGAGCTAGTTCTGCAGTACCTGCTGGCTTCAAGGGAGGCAACTGCTCTCGTCATAGCCAAAAATCTGGATCTTAGGGGTACCAAGCAGGTCAATCCCACCCTCTACTCGCTGGAGAAGCAAGGTGAAGTCGTTAAGAATAGTCACGCTAACCCGCCCACCTGGCAGCTCTCCACCCACCGCCGAGAGAGGATGGAAAGGAGCCTTAAAGCCTCAAAGAGCACCCGCGCTGAGGGGCATCAGATGTTGGAGGGACCCGGTAGAGATCAGAGAAGAGGAGAGTCTGTCTTTCTGTCGCCGTCGTCACCATTTCCACCAATATCGGGCCTCGAACCACTGCCACTCCCAGAGCGTTGCCTGCCAGAGCAAAGTCGTAGTGAGGCGGTAAGTACAATGTCTGTGCTTTCTATTTTGTATTTATTAAATGTTCACATGAATGTGAATTTGTATCAAAACATAACTAGAAATAACAAAATGGAATCTATTTGACCTAGATAGTTCAACGTAGAACTTCAAGGTCACCCAAAATATTTTCACAGATTATACAGCAAAGCTTCTACAATGATGATAGGAATAGTGTATATATATATATATATATATATATATATATATATATATATATATAATTTTTTTTTTTTTAGGAAATACACTTCATTGCTGTTTTCAGTCTTAATGCTACTTTATGCAACCACTGCTCGAAGAGTGTATTTTTACTAGATTCATATTCAGCTGATGTTACCAGAGTTGGGACTTCCTCCCTGATTTTATTAACCTTTTACTTCTGCTTTTCCCTTTTTTAAGTCTCAAAACTCATTCCAGCCTCCCTCCATTACCTCAATTAAAGAGGAAGAGACCAACGAAGGACAGTGGGCTACTGATGACATCCCAGAATTCCTCAACGCCATCCGCAGAGAGACGGACGCTGGGAAACTGGCAGCAGAGAAGGCCAACTCTGTGGGAACCGTAGCCGTGTCGCTGGCTGCTCCACCTCCACAGAACCTGTCGGCCAAATTACAGGAGGTGAGGCTGAAGAACCCCGTCAGTGGCCTCATGGAGTATGCCCAGTATCTGGGCCACAACTGTGAGTTCCAGCTCCTCGACCAGTCAGGACCCTCTCACGACCCACGGTTAGTCAATTAATATGTATGATATGATGGTGTGTATGCATCATTTTTTTTGCTCTTCCATCCACATGTTTGTCACCTTCTGTGGAGCAGCTGGTGACAAAGCTATCGATTCAAAGTCGTAATGAAGACGTATGATGCTGCCAATTAGGAAAGAAAATGACATTGCTTGCAACACAGTAGTCTCGGAAAGTTGTAGCGGCTCAATTAATCACGTATCGGCAGATCAATGTACCTCATCTGTATTTATTTTCTCTCCCTGTGTCAGATTTCGTATGCAGGTGATGCTCAACGGAAGGCTGTTTCCTGTCGTAGAAGCTTCCAGTAAGAAGGTTGCAAAAAAGGATTCCGCTGCCGCCACCCTGCGCATTCTCATCGGAGAGATTGAGGCAGGGCCGACTACGGGAGACGAGGGATATACTGCTGTCAGTGCGGACCAAGTGATCGATCTCCCCCCAGACACCAGTGTAAGTTTTTGTTTGAATGTGCTCAAACCATCATCCACCCGAAGACAGACGCATCTTGCTTTAAACACCTGAGATTGGTCAGGCACGTAATTCGTGATTATTTTTGCAGCCCTGGAAAAAAGTTTGAATACATCAATAGCTTCTTTTTTTTATTTTATTTTTTATAACTTCAACCACCAAAAAGTACAGCCATAATTGAAATACATTTTCCTCCTCCACTGGCCTCTAGGGGCAAGCTGAAGGCGCAGCGGTGATTTTTGGGACTACTAGTGTGGAAGGAATGGGTACAGTGGAAGGACCTCGCCAGCCGCTGTCCCGCTCCCTGCCTGGTGGGAAGAATCCAGTGTCTGTCCTGATGGAGTACAGCCAGCGCAGTGGGAATCCCATCGAATTCATCATCACCGGGCAGGCAGGCCCACCACATGACCCAAGGTACTGCCCCCACCACCCCATATCTGAATCTGTCCCTTTTGGATGTTGTTTTCCCCAAAGTGCAAGTTCCCCCTCAGGGAAGCAGTTGATCGGCTATTTCTGTGTAATCTGAAACTGTAGTCAGCTGACGTAGACACAATACCATCTCTGTCTAGTCACTCTTTACCACTCTTTTTTTATTATCCTTCAGGCAGCCGGCTGGTAGATCCAATAAAAACTTTTGTGTTCCTCGAGTCACTTTCTAAAAATGCTGCATGCATCTGTCTTGATCACTGTTCCGCCACAGGCTCTACTCTGTTTCGTCTTCTCATTTATCTAAGGTGAAAAGTCAGGCACATCTCCATTTGTCTCTTCCCACCACTCTTAACCCGTCTCTGCCTTGTGTTCAGGTTCATGTACAGGGTGAAGGTTGGAGAGAGCTTGTTTACAGAGGCATCAGCTCCAAGCAAGAAGGCCGCCCGCCAGCTAGCAGCAGAGGAGGCCGTCAAAGAATTGATGGCTGACGGGAGACTGCAGCTCAACAAGGTGAGAAAGTGCGAAGCAAAGAATAATGAGTGGTTCATTTGGGACAAAAGGGAAGGGCTTTGCATATCTCCAAAATGACTGAAATGACTTTAAAAAACCACCAGATCACTCAGGCTGAAAGAAATGATTGTCGCCTCTGTCACTCGGTTCTGCTCTGTTTGCTCCATGCTGTTCACATCATTCTTTTTCTCTCTGTTCCAGCCTCAGCTGCCCCTGGGCTCTTCCAGTGATAGTGATGGCACTGGTTCTGGGACTACGTGTCCCTCTTTGCCACCTCTGACTGCAGATGAGTTGCGAGCAGCACACGAGGCAGGGGTCGGAGATCTCATCAATCACTTGAACAACAACGCAGTGTCGGGTCTACTGGAGTACGCTAGAGCCCGGGGCTTTGCCGCTGAGATCAGAATAGTGGGCCAGTCTGGACCACCACACGAGCCTAAGTATGTGTGAACTGAATGAATGTACAAAACAAACAACACAATTAACACATAAACACTGGATAAAAATAATATCTTACTGTCCTGGTCACCATGTACTCGGAAAATAATGTTCTTTGTTGACCTGAGAAAAAATATGTATAATAATTAAAAGTTTTGGAACATTAATGAAGGCTCTAAGACTTTGTTCTTCGAGTGAGAAAACACTGATTATCCGATTTACCTTTCTCGTTGCCCCTGCTCAGGTTCACCTACCAGGCCAAGCTGGGCGGACGCTGGTTCCCTCCAGTGTGTGCGTCCAACAAGAAGCAGGGCAAACAGGAAGCAGCAGATGCTGCTCTGCGGGTTCTGATTGGAGAGGCTGAGAGAGCAGCCCGCACTGGGGAGCTCATCCCGGCTGAGGTACGGACTTTTCAGTGGTTCACATTCTCTATCATGAAACATGAGCCTTGTCCGGCTCAACACGGCATAATGGAGTTACAGTCAACACCTGCATTTAATTATAACCCCCTCACTTGAGCAAATCACTGACACATTTGTTGTTTCAGTCAGTAAATCGGTTCTCCTCACTGGAAGGCTGAAGCTCTGTAGCAGCTTTAGGAAGTGGGGAATTTGTATCGACAGCATACAAACATAACGCGTTCTCTGGCAGTCTAAGATATGTTTGAAAAAGCTTAAATGTTTTACTATGTTAGTTTTTCAGATTTATCACTAGATTGCACAGTCAAATACAGTACATGTCAGACCTACAGAATATGAAATAATCCTCATCTCTTTTCTATTTTGCCTGTCCTGTCCTCTATACATCCCTTTCTCTAGCTTCCAGTGAGTGGCAGCACTTTGCATGACCAGATAGCAATGTTGAGTCACCAGCGTTTCAACGCCCTGACCACACGTATCCAGCACAGCCTTCTGGGACGCAAGATTCTGGCCACCATCGTCATGAGGAGGGGGGAGGGCCTGGGGACTGTGGTCAGCCTGGGAACTGGTATATACATTACCTAAGCATATAAGCACAGGGAGTTGGTAATAACAGGGTGTATAAGCAATTGTGTTGCAACGTACAAGTTACTTTTTCACTGCATTCTTCCATGATGCGAGTACGTTTTTATAATTTTCTGTAATCAGATGCATGCACTTTCAGAAAGCTAAAACAGAACTAAGTCACTGCAGAACCAAGAGGTGTTGCATTGTTGTGAACTTTGACATTGAATGTGTCTCTCTTGTTTTGTTGTTTTCCCTGTCAGGAAATCGCTGTGTTAAAGGGGAGGAGCTGAGCCTTAAAGGGGACACTGTTAATGATTGCCACGCTGAAATCATCTCCAGAAGGGGATTTGTTCGGTAGAAACTGATCTTGTTTTGCTTCTTTTTTTTTCTTTCTTTTTTTTCTTCTTTTTTTTTATCTCTCCCTATTGTGGAAAATACCACGCTCCTCTCCTAGAACTAGTCTGCAGGATCTTATCTATAAGTCTCACTCACCGTTTCCTTTCTTCTCAGGTTTCTGTACATTGAGCTGCTCAAGCACTACGATGGCGCAGACGACAGTATATTTGAGGCAGCGGAGGATAACAAACTGCGAATCAAATCTGACATTACCTTTCACCTCTACATCAGGTGGGAGTGTCTGATGTTCTCTTTCCCCTTGTCCCCCCCCCCCCCCCCACTCTCAATGCTCTCCTGTCATGTCCACCTCTCAGATGCCTCAATGTGGTCTCCTTCCTCTTTTAGACTTTGTGTCATATTAATACCTTCTGTCTTGTCTTTCTCTGTTATCCAAAGCACGGCACCTTGTGGGGATGGTGCTCTGTTTGACAAGTCATGCAGTGAGGCCGGGGATGAAGTCGAGGGCCATCAGCCGCTGTTTGAGAATGCTAAGCAGGGAAAGCTCCGCACCAAAGTGGAGAACGGTGAGAGATGAAATGGACGCACATATGTCTTTACAAAAATATATATATATATATATATATATATATATATATATATTAATATTATATTAGTGCATGGAAGCCAATTCTGTAGGCAAACACCTGTGACCTTTGTCTGTCTGTGTGTTGGTGCTCGTGTCAGGCGAGGGCACCATCCCAGTGGAGTCGAGTGCCATTGTGCCCACGTGGGATGGCATCCAGCACGGTGAGAGGCTGCGGACCATGAGCTGCAGCGATAAGATTCTGCGCTGGAACGTGTTGGGCCTGCAGGGGGCACTGCTCACCCATTTCGTGCACCCAATCTACCTGAAGTCAATCACGCTTGGTAAAACACACTATTGCTTTTAAATATATTCACAAGCGTTAAGGTGAGTGAAATTGGATGAATTGCCACTCTTGCATTGCGTCTCGTCTCACTTTTCTGTTCTCCGTGTCTTTGTTGTTCTGATCTGCCAGGCTACCTGTACAGCCACGGTCACCTCACACGTGCTGTCTGCTGCCGGCTGGCCAGAGACGGTGAAGCGTTCACCCAAAGTCTCCCTCCTTCCTTCAAGCTAAATCACCCGGAGGTAACCGCTCACATTTTTGCCAATGTGAAAATGAATCGGGAGTATTGAGGTCATTCTCAAAAAAATTATTAATTGAGCTGCCAACACTCTTTGCCCCTGCACAACTGTTACTTTATTGCTCATCTTCTTTAAATTTGGCTCATCCATCAATTAAGAAACAACAGGTCGGTCACTCTCATATTGCCGGACAACATGTCTGAGAAATACAACTGCTGGCATTAAAGCACAATTCAGCTCGTCCCTTGTTTTAACCTGCTTTTGAACAATTTCTCGGTTGAATACACTGTTTTTAATCGACGCAGCCATCCCACTGACACATGCAACACGCATCTAGTTTTACACGCTCTGTTTGGAATTGTTGACTCACAACAAACGGCTAAATGAGATTGACCAAAAATATGCTCTTCTCTTCCCTTCTCCCTCACCACCTGGTTGGACTGTAGGTGGGCAGAGTGAGTGTGTACGACTCCACACGGCACACAGGCAAGACCAAGGAGTCCAGTGTGAACTGGAGCTTTCCAGACCAGAACAGTGTGGAGGTGCTGGACGGGACCAAGGGCAAACTGGATGGGTATGTAACTCATCCCAATGTTGTCTCTCCTGATGGCAACACACACTGTGTATTAATAGCTTTTCGATTGTTTGTAAAAGCCGGTTATTGTCCACTTAATAACTTATTATTTAGTGTAGTGCTGCTCTTCGCTGTTTTTGTTTTTGTCCTTCTGTCATGGTTGACAATCACTTATTTATCCCACAACAGATTCAAGTCCATTGTTTGCCCGGGCAAAGATTGATTTACGCAGCAGCTCAGTATGTCTCTGAAAGGTGTTCCAGAAATGTGATTTTGTTATTGATCATCGTGACATTGATCAAACACCATAACATTGTGAGGAGGCATTCTTGGAGTCCTGAAGACTTATTTTGAAGAAATCACAATTGGTTGTTAAAATGTAATTTGTGTTATGTATGCATCGCTAAGAAATGAGATGTGGTAAACAACACATACACAAGGTGAGAGAACCATTGGCAGCATTATTTTGGATAAACTAAAGTGCTCAGTAACAACTGTCAAGTAACCACAAGCTTCATTCAATTTTACTAAAATTGCCTAAAACGGTAAGTAAGCTAAATAGGAAACGCTGCACGATCAGAGGAAATGTTGCCATCCTTCATTCGCTGAACACTCGTACTAAACAGCCCTCCAATGTCTTTCCTCTAGGAACAAACTCAGTGTGTCCAGAGTGTCCAAGTCCAACCTGTTCTGTCTGTTCCGCTCTGTGTGCCAGCGTTCTGGCCGCGCTGACCTCTTCGCACTGCCCTCCTACTCCCAGGCCAAGTTGACGGCCATGCCCTTCCAGCTAGCCAAGCAGAATTTCTTCCGAGCTCTGAGCTGCCACGGCTACGGCGCCTGGATCGGCAAGCCGCTGGAAGAGAAGAGCTTTGAGTCGGGGGAGGGAAACGGGAACAATGGGATCCCTGTGGGATATGGCAGCAGTAGAAATTGCGGAGCAGTGGAGTTGAAGCAAGAGGATGCGTAGAACAGTGCAAGAGTGCGTTTTTAGGTGGGTTGATATGAATATGTGGGGAGAAGGAAAGCACAAGGCAAGGGCAGATTGGAAGGGTGGATGGGACGGGAAAAAGACAATCAAACCATTCGTAGGCCGCAGCCAGAATTGTATCTTCTGATGAACATGGTTAAAGGCTGCGGAGGAAGAGTAATGGAAGGAGACGATGATGGCAAAAGCCTGAAGGGATGAGTGGAGTCAGTGGAGACAGACGGAGCTGTGCAGCGATCCAACAAGTTTGAAGTCAGTAAATCACCATGGTGTAAACACTGCTACAAAGTTGGGTTGTATTAGTTTGTAAAACAATTCCTTTGTTTTTTGCAGTATACGGTTTATACCTGTGGGTTGGTTTCAAGTTGTAATGTTAGTTTTTCCTTTTGTCGTTGCAGCGTTTGGCATATTCTCCCGTTATTGTCTCTCCGTTCTACTTGATATGTCAACTTTTTTTTGACTATTGCAAGTGCAGTTTGGACCCGGGTGACTTGGCCTCTTTCGACTGCGGTTGTCTAATTTTGCCACGAGAACTTAAGTGGCTGACAAGTGCTGCTAATTGGCATTCGACCTAATACGACCCACCATTACAGCAGTGTTTGTAAATGTGATGAAGTTAATTGGAAGTTGGAGTCCTCGGTCATGTAGTGCTTATTATTGTGTCGGCTCCCTATGTTCTGCTGCATTCAAACACAAAGCAGCAGACACGATGGGACGCTCTCAGCAGGAATCTCACCCTGGATAGATGTCACACGTAAACTAGTCCTTGCTCAGCGCAGCTATCATGTACAGAAGAAGAATATCAATGCCAACTTTTACTCTGATCAGTCACTAACCAAACATTCGCCGTCCCACATTTGAGGCTTTAGCTCCTGAAGCCTTCGATCAGGCCTCTTTCTGAGTCAAATTTAAACTTACTGTACACCCTCAGCTGTTCACGGTTACCAATAACATAGCATATGCCAGAGCGCCCCGTTGATCAATCCCATAATTTCTCTGTGCTTTTGGGTTTTTCTAGAGAATTACTGATGTCAGGACCTCCACGATGTACAATATTTCTGTTGTTGCTTGTGTATTTCTGAGTATTTCTACTTTTATCTTCACTTCTGGCAACAAAGTTCATAAGTCACTGGCCATGCAAGCAAATCCTGGAGAGCATCAACTGTCCTGTGTATCGGTTTTTTTACATCTTGATACGAACATGCTTTTAGGTTCTCTTGCATGGCCAGTTTCTGAGGACTGCTGGGTGAAAACAGTTCTGTTGTTTGAGAGTGTGTAGTCTGTTCTTGATTTGCTTATATGTAGATGGATGGTGCAATATATACATCAGGTATATACAAATACATGATCACGCAGATGTTACAGTGGGGTCCAAGAGCCTGAGTCCAGTTCCAGAAACTCATAACTAACAGAAATGTAAAGTCAAACTGTTTCGTATTGTTTTTATGAAGGAAGTGAAAGAAGTTTATATTCATCTGGTTGTTTTTTTAAAAATAGAATTTCAGAATCCACTTTATCCAAGCGCTCTTTAAGATTACATCTGAGATGCCTTGTGATAGCTTGATGTTACAATTAGTCTCAGATGTTTGTTGTGTTTGAGGTCAGGCAGCTACAGAGGGAAAGCCGTACAAGTCAGCACTCCGATAAGTCAAACCTTTTTTTCTCTACCTTTTGATTGTAAAAGCCATTGTTTTGATGGAAAAGGAATGTTTTAAGCTTGAAGTAATGACACACCTCTATAGAGGGGCACCTCTCTCTGGTCCGTCTGTAGTTATCTCTAAAGTTAAGTTTTAATTGGGGACTTTGTTATTGTCTTCAGCAGTGATTCATGCTATTGGTTGAGCCGTAATAAAGATATTAGACTTAAAAACAAGTAGACAAAGTCTTTTATCAAGTTTCAGCACCCACTGCAATAGGAATTACACACGAGACCTAACATAGAAAAGCAAGTATTTTTAGTATTTGTTTGCAAACATTAATTTGATTTATACCAGTTGTGTATTTGAATACAAAGCTTTTTTTAATTTGCATTTGTTTGGGTGTTTTTATCATTAAAACGTAAAGTTCTTGGTAGTGGACTCCGACTCTTGGACCCCCCTGTATGCAAACATAGATGTTTTCGTATAAAGATGTATATATGTCTGTGTATGTATTTGTATAATTTTAATGTATATATTTTATAAATCATCTACAATTGCATTTCTATATGTTTTAATGAAACTGCAAATAAATATGCTGTTTTTTTTACAAATGACGTTTGGAAAATCATTAAAAAGTGTATACCAATGTTCTAGTTGAGTGATGATTATCCGGTATTTTCTTTCTATCAGTGTCTGTTATACTGTCTATTATTTGAGACACAGTTTTGAATTACATTAATGCAGAAACAATGACAGGAAAGAGATGTTCTAGTTTGAGAGAGTATGATATGCTAATTCTTACAGCCGGGGCTCTTTTCCTCAGGGTGGCGTCTCGGTCCAGCCTGGCCTCCAAATAGCCAAAGAGCCGATTGCAATGCTCCAAAGGATCAGCAGATGGAAACATGTCCTCACCTTAGGGTAGGAGGCTGTATGTATGTGTGTACGCATGCAGAGAACGGCTACATGAAATCAGCCCCAGGTGATGATCAGTTCAGCACTGACATTTATTTTATCTATGAAGTAGTACCTTTATATTACGTGGGCTACTTCAATTAACTACATTATTTTTTTTTCAAGCTTACAAAATTTTTGTCCTTTTGCTTTCATTTTCAGGCGGCGTAAGTCTGAGTAGTATATTTGATTCAACTTTATTACCATTGCATGCAGCAAATATCTAACCAGATGCAAACAGCATCAGAAGTGCATAAAGAGATGTGTAAAGATAAACAAATGAACAATAGACCATTTGGGTAGTGATCGTAAGCACGGATGTGATATGTACAAAATAATATAAAAGATGTAAAGCAGCTATGAGGATCAAAATAACAAAGCAGGTATTATGGAAGAGAAATGTGTATTGGTGCATTCATTCTGAGATGATAGTTATGTGCTGCAAAATTATAGTGATACTCCACACAGTCTCAGAAGTGTGAGTGTGATGCAGTAACACTGAGCTGTCATTGGGTGTGATGTCTCTGGGAACAAATAGTGATATTCAATGTCTTAATTGTGAATCGGCTCTGTGTAGCATTAGATCCGGTATTGTCTCCGGTTCAACCGCAATTGTTTCTGTCGAGGGACAGGATTATGGCAGCAATATTGCCAGCCAATCAGTGTATAGTGCCTTGTAAATAATTTTATTTTGAATGCCCCCCAAACAGCTAGTTTCATTAGAGGAGGCTGTGTCGCAGTGCAATCCCAACAACTTCTGAAAAAAGATTGCTGATACCCCTACACGTAATTACAGCTTGAGCTAAGAAATCAATTGGTGAGATTCCCTTCAAGTTGGCAATAATTATATCAAAATGTGTGATGCGTGTTTGTACTGTCCAAATGGGCTGTGTGCAATAGTGAGGGCTTGTGTCAATGAGGATCTCCACCCGTCAAGTTGGATTCATACGTGTGTGTATTTGAATGATGGGAGGGCGGGACTAATGATGGAAGGAGAAGAGTTAAGCATGACAGAGGGAACACGGCTGCATGGAGTGAAATATTAGTCCGGACTGAGGGGTTTAAATGAGCCACTCAGTGCTCTTCAATAGAAATAAATGAGAGAGGGGAAGGAGGGAATACATGAAGGCTGAGTGGGGAGAGAAATGGCTTAGAATCTAAGCTAAAAAACACAAGATCAAGAGAACCTGTGGAGTCTGAGGCAAATTTATGATGGCCATCAGACAAGGAGGGATGAAGCATCAGCAAAAGAGACATTGAATAAATAGTGCATAGTGGGGTTGTACTTAGATAATACTGTGGCATTAAAAACAAGGAATGTTACTTGTACATATACAGTATGTATAATTGTATACATTCAGAATGAAAATCTGAATTCTGGAAGTATACCAATATATATGTTGATGTCCAAGCTAAACTATGAACTATAAATTGAATCACATCACATTTTTTATTAGCTTTTATTATCACCCTTTCTTCATTTATATCTCTGCCAGGAGAATCATGCTTTATCGCTCACACAAGTCTGTGCATGCGTCCGTGAATGAAGGTGCACCTCTGTGTCTGTCCAAGGCTAATCCTTTATTCTGCTCCAGCAAACTGCAGAAGGTTTTGGGTGGCTAGTTATTATGGCTGCATGCTCAATTGCCTCTTGTGGTTGCATTGACTCACACTTTCTCAAGACACCTTTTATTGCCAGTTTTATACTGCCATTGAGTGCCTGCTGACTCCTCACACACATACTCTTAACCGGCCGCAAGTGGTAACACAGCCGACCCCCAGCCACTACTCTGCGCCCACAGTGGAGGAAAACAGTTTGCTGTCTTTGACTGTTTTGGACGGTGTGTTTGGCTAACAGCTAACGGAACTACACACACAGCTGACTGCATCGCAGGCCCTCAGCTGCTGCTCTGCGTCCAGAGACACAGGTATTCCATGCCTTTTAATTAGGCATCAACATGATGTTTACACGGATATTGACGAAAAAAATAGACCAGCCCAGCCATCTGCATTGATTAAAATGAGAGCGTATCTGTGAGACGTGCAAGTGAAAAACACATCTGATACACTTGTGTTCTAGACAGGAGGGCTAGCCAATTGTGGGCTGTATTCATTCAATTAAACATTACAGCAGTGGTTGTTGCGGACACACCTGGTATAGGTATGAGTGCACCTTTCTAGTATTTAGTGCACAAGCGTCCACTAAAAGCATGCACAGCTGGCCCGGCTATGTGAACAAAGCAAGGAGAAGCTTGTATAACGGCGCACATAGAGCGACATCATTTTCTGTTCAGGTAAACATTATACCACTATATCTTTACAAATAGTCGTTTACTGCTATATTAATGTTCAGAATGTTAACTTCAGCTCTTTTAAATTTGGTAGCTACATTTATTGATGGTTATTCCACACATGCTATTGTATAGCAAAGCTAGTGCTTCCTTAATGCTACAATAATTAGTAATATTACTGAATGTAAAGTCGGACACTACAGTGATTGTACAGTATAGCACCTTAAAAATGCAGCCACATGGTAATTTGACTATCACCATAATGGTAATTTGACTATCACCATAATGGCACAGTACATCAGATAAAGTAAATCAACTTTTTTAATCAAGGAGTACAATGTCACAAAAAGTCTGGCAGAAATCAGGCATTGTCACTTAGCTGAGAGATAGGAGACAGCTGACTCAGGAGAACTGCCGTCATCTCTCAGGCAGACACACACAAACACCAAGCCGGCATAAACTTTAACTATCATGCTGACTCTTTGAAACTGTAATTAGCTTCTGAACACTTCTAAATGTTAGTATCAGGACAGCTGCTCATATTCGCAGACATACTTAGCCGATTGCCTCTTCCATCAAGGGTGACACATAGCATACATCAATAGGCCTGAGACCTTGACTCCCTGCTACCGATACATTAAGAGAGGCCTAAATTTGACACGGCCTCTCAGAAACATGACAACCCAGAACAGGCCACAGACCTCTCACACCACATTATTCTCCACCATTACAGCATCAACAGAAGAACGGGTGGTGCTGGCGGACGAGGGGAAGAGCTTTGTGCAGTTGATCAGTGGTAAGGTTCAGAAGAAGGATGAGAGTAGCCTATGGGTAGTCATCTGAATTTTTGCGCACTATTGCACACACTTAAGGACATCGGGCTGGATATCAAGAAAGAAGTTGTTCCAGGGGAGCTGGACCAGGAGGAGCAAGGCAAGGCAAGTTTATTTGTATTGCACATTTCAACAACAAGGTAATTCAAAGTGCTTCACATAAAACCATTAAAAGCATCAAAACACAAGGCAAAAGAAAAGGAGATTTAAAAACAATTAAGAACAGTCATTAAAACATTAAAAAGCAGTGTAAGAAATAAAATGCAGTAGTAAAATGCAGAAATGCAGAAATTGATTAATATCCTTGACTCTGGTCCAATTAAAGGCAGCAGCAAACAGAAAAGTCTTCAATCTTGATTTAAAGGAGCTGAGGGTCTCAGCAGACCTGCAGCTTTCTGGGACTTTGTTCCAGATATGTGGAGCAGAAAAACTGAACGCTGCTTCTCCATGTTTAGTTCTGACTCTGGGAACAGAAAGCAGACCGGTCCCAGACGACCTAAGGGGTCGGGATGGTTCATAAGGTAGCAGCAGATCAGAGATGTATTTTGGCCCTAAACCATTCAGTGCTTTGTAAACCAACAGCAGGATTTAAAAGTCAATTCTTTGTTGGACAGGAAGCCAGTGCAAAGACCTCAGAACTGGAGTGATGTGATCCACCCTCCTGGTCTTAGTGAGGACTCGAGCTGCAGTGTTCTGATTGACCTTTTACAGAGACCTGTAAACACACCGTTACAGTAGTCCAGTCTGATGAAGATAAATGCATGGACAGGTTTTTCCAAATCCTGTTGAGACATAAATCCTCTAATCCTTGATATATTCTTTAGGTGATAGTAGGCTGATTTTGTAATTGTCTTGATATGGCTGGTCAGGTTGAGGTCTGAATCCATAACTAAACCTAGATTTCTGGCTTGGTTTGTGTTTTTTAACATCAGTGATTGAAGCTGAGTGCTGACTGAGCAGGTGGTATCAAGTAGGGAAGGCAAAGAAGCACCGGTCACATCCATCATCTGGATAGTGATCTGGGATGTGGTGGTGGCCTCAACAAAAAACAAACAAAGCACCTGACATGGAGCGGTTTGGTGTTTGGTACCATTGTTTGGTACCATTTCTGACATTGATTATCATAAAGCTGTATCAATATGCTGTGTGTGTGTGTGTGTGTGTGTGTGTGTGTGTGTGTGTGCGCCTGCTTGTGTTTCATTAAAAGGGCACAGTTGTTTTGAGGCGAGATGCTTGCTCGCCACTGAAAGCAGACGCATTACCCAGAGCTTTCTGCTGGCTCCGCTGTTCACTCCCCTCCACACCTCTCTCTCTCTTCAACTGTATCTTCTACCCCCTGCAGTCTCCCGCTCTCTGTATTTGATTAGGATATTTCAGGCAGTCAGATCAGAGGGCTGTTTGCAGAGATATGTTGTGCAGAGATCCATCTGCATATAGCGGCCGTTTTTATGCTGTGGGTTAGCCCGCACAGCTTCGAGGCCCCTAATGTAATCTGAGCCATTAGGACACAATGGAGCCGGTGTAGGGCAGCGTTTAGAGTATGTCTGATGGAGTGGGGCCAGCCCGGTGGTCTATTAAGAAGAGCCATGCAGCTATGCAATGCACTCACTCATCACCTCTCTGACATTTATCATACGCCTGTGTCTGATTCAGAGAGAAAGAAAAGAAAAATCAGTTTCTCCTCTTTCTCTTCTTCAATGACTGACCTTCTAGTTCAGTCAGATGTGGCTGTGTTTTTCAGTAAGCCAAAGTATAATTTCAAGGTACTTGTACTTTACTCTGATTTTCTATATGATTCCACCTTATACTTCTACTCATTTCAGAGGGAAATATTGTATTTTTGCTCCCATACATTGTAGTGGAGCAAAGACACATAGCATGCAGACATATTGTATTACCTGCCAGCTGCGTCCCCCTGTTTCCAGTCTTTGTGCTAAGCTAAGATAAACTAAACTAACATAATAGGCTGACATTTACCTTACAAAAATAAGAGTGGTATTATTGTTATCATCTAAGTCCCAGCAACATATTTCCCAAATTATCAAACTGTTCCTCTCATGTAAAGGACATGAATACATCCTCCCCCTGTGTATTTAGAGGGTACTTTACAGCTAAGAATAGGCTCGAGGAAAAAAAGTATCCTTTTCTAAAAAACATTTAAATATTGAGAAAAAAGACATAATAGCGAATGTGAAAAGGTTTGAAAGAAATGGTGAATGGAAGAACTCTGCTGGAAATGCAATGATTGCTACTTTGTGTGAAAGTGTCTAGGTGTGTGTGTGTCTCTGTGTGTGTGTGTGTGTGTGTGTGTGTGTGTGGTGGGAGGGTCTTTTGTCCTTTTGGTCAGAATCTAATCAATCCTTCTCTCCTTTCACTTCTGGACCTCCTTGTCCAAATGCTCACATTTCCTACACATTACTCTCTTCGTCTATTTCCTCTCCCACCCACCTGTTGTGTCACTTCGAAGTTGTATGTGATTTATACAGTATCATTTCCTGTGGTCGAGCCTTTATGTGGCATTAAACTTAAACAAAAAAGAGATAAAGGACTCATCTGTGTACTACAGTGTTGGCATAGCAACTGCCATACCTTTGTATTATACCTCTTTGTATTCTATTATTCACTTTCTCGTTCACATACATCTCACACCATACCTCTGATGTATGCTGCAGGGCAGAGCTGCAGACTAACCTTTTCATTCAATGGGCCTATCATTACTCCTCTGCCGCTCCCCTCTGCTTTCATTGCTCCAAACTCTCCATCTTTCTCTGCTGCCCTCTAACCTCTGTCGATAACAAATAAGACCAGCGAAATATAAATATACTGCCATCATTCTTTTCTGTCAGTCCTAATGTCCCCCTGGACCTCCGGCAGCGCTTTTCCCCCATTTACTGTGCTTTGTTGTATTGTGTTTATCAAATCTCTTGCTCTGTCTCCTGCGTTTTATTCGCAGAACAGCTGTTAAGAAACTGCTGCCAAAAGATTAAAGGAGATGTCTTCAACATTCTGAACATTAATATAGCGACAAACCACTATTTGCTATCCAGTAGTGGAGTAATATACCCACCCTCCGGTTCCCCCTCAGGTAAACACTGATAGCTATGTCAGCTCTTTTGCCATTGTTAATGCTGTTAGTCACAGGCTCGCCACTGACATGTTGAGAGTCAATCAGAGGCAATAGAAACATTCCCAATCGCAAATTGGACATTTTCTCCATTTAAAGGCGCCAATTAGTGCACAGCATCTCGAGTTCCAGTGCAAGGGTACGGGGGGCACTTTATCTTGTTTTATCTACCGTAGGGGCTTTTAAAGCATTTCTTTCAAACACGGGGGCTTTCCCATTTGTGTTTTTAAACTTATTAACACTGCATTAATTCCTTAAGCGGGTGCATCTAATGATTATTTTCATCACTGACTAATCTTCAGTGTATTTCCTTGATTAATAAATGTTTTGTGTGACCTGTGACATGACAGGAAAATTGTGAAAAATGTCCTTCTTAAGCCCAAAGTGACGTTGTTTTGTCAACAAAAAATGAGGTAAATCTTACCTTAATCCCCAAGATCAGGTTCAACAAATACAAAAGTAGGCTACATATAAACTATGAATGTTTCTGTCTAATTGTTTTGCCCTATAGTCCCCAAGTTAAATAAATGGCTTTGATCTGTGAAGGTGCGAAGCCTGACCTTTGACATTTCCCCAGGCCTTTCTGTGAAGAATTTACAGCTTGTTTAACAGGCCACTTTCCATCACTGACCCGTCATGAATCAGCCCAGGGCAGAAACAACACATCACTGTGTTTATTTCTACAGTAATGAGGAAAAAAACGGATGAAACAATCCGCTGTCAAATTCAGTATAGGAACCCGTCTAGAGCCTTTATGAAACAAAATAGGCCTGGACAAAAACAAATAAACAAACAAAAATACAAATTGATATGATATTGGCAGCAGATAAAAAAAATGTAGTACCCAGGATTTGTTCATTATTTTTTGTCATAAATGGACCACTGTCTGCTCTACTTCCACATTAGCTGTCTGAGTGAGGAGTTGGCATATGGGCGGTGTTGTCTAAATACCTGGAATTATCTTCCACGCAATATGATTTGCTTTATTGATGCCTTTCAACTTGCATAATCCTAGGATAGGTTGACCTGTTATATGATAACAGTCTAATCCGCTTCCACACAGTAGGCTACCTCATGTGCTCATCTGATTAAGTGTGCACACAACACACACGGAGAACCACAATGTGAAACCAGTTAGGCCAGGTAGAATAGTCTCATTATGCAGGATTATTCTGTATAGACTTTGTAAAGGTAGAATTATAAATGTATTAGTCTGCTGGGAATTAAATAAAAAAGTCTCTCACGAAAAACTGCTGTTACATCCATCTCCTGCTAATTGTCTTTTTTCTTTTTTTTTTTAATTAGGCATTAATTATAACACTAATATTAAATTGAATTCAATGCAACTCCATTTATCCCTGCAAGAGCAATTGGCAGCTCACGGCCAGATCAACAGATAAGAAAAGAAAGAAAAGACTAATGTATTATAGTTAGAGTCTTACATTATCCTATAACGTCTTATCTAACCATCAATTCTCTCAAAGTAGTTCCTGTATTTATCATAAAACACAGAAGTGAGCAGGTCCTTCCCAGCTGAAGGCGCTTCCACAATCCACACACATGTGCTGCAGGTTTTATTTTTTGTTGATTCACATAAATGCGCCCATTTTGCTATACATGTGAAAATAATTCTCAGAACGTCTGTGTTTTTAAGTTGCCAAAACCACCGTCATCAAACAGCCATATGCGACCCAATAGACCATATGGTCTTTATTACAGAAGCAGTTACAAATACCAAATGGATCACATGTTTTCTAACGATGCGGTAAAAAAAGAAAATAATAATAATTAACCCCCAAATAGCCCGGGATAGAATACATTAGACATTTGTTTGGCGCTTACACCTTACAAACCCTGCCACCTGTTTTCAGCGCTTATTCCGCTCCTCTGATTCCGTCCAATGGGAATGAACGGCAGGTCTGGAGGCGGAGAAAGAGGGAGATAAGTTGGAGGAGAGAGTGAGAGACAGATCCGGGGACACAGTGAGCTGTAGATTGAGTGGAAGTCGGTGGAGCTACATATGAAATCACAGACTTCACTGCGCGTCTGATGACTGTTACTTGACGTCCAGCTTTGCGTTTTTTTTTTTCTACCGCCGGTTTCATGTCGCTGCACATCTTTGACGTGCAGCCACAGGTTGACCGATTTAATCCACTCCCTGTGGATTATTCCTCTTCATCTCGAGTCGATTGTCACTGACGGAATCGAAATGGGCACCGTCGAGCGATCACCGGTGATTGAGAAGGAAACAAACTGATCGCATCAAGTGGAGACGGAGACGGAGACGGAGGCAACATCCGTGGGGAGCGACGCACAATTTCGAGAGACAAGAGAGGGACCTGTGGAGGGACTTGTATGAAAGGAGGCGAAGCAAAAAGATGATGGGATGGCCGTGACAACATGAAAAAGAAAAAGTGTGGAGGTCTATTTTCATCCAGCCAGTGATTCAACACAACTAACCTGGGGGACAGGGACTGAGAGAGAAGAGGTAGGTAGAGACACAGACAGGGAGGAGGGGGCCGTGAAGGTGTCTGGTTATATCATACTGAAAGTAGGTTATTGTTTTGGATCAATCACATGCAGCCAATTTATGGTCAACTGAGGCAAACACAGCACTTCTCCTGCTATCAAAACTGACTGATTGTCAGACTAAAGAATTGTTATTCTTTAGTCTCTCAGCCTGATTTCAATGGTGTAAAGCATGAGGATCTGCACCATCCTTCTGGCTAACATCAGTGTAACACAGATGACATTTAATGGCATAGATTGAAGCATTTAGGGATGCGAGAGGACACTGGGAAACGGCGAGAGAGGCACTGAGAGAGGCTGACTGGGCGGCTGACTCAAATGTGACTCAAGAAATAACATATTCCCCAATTATGGCCACTTTTCTTCACTCTGCTGCCCTTCTTTGTCACACGTCTCCAGCTTTTTGAGTCCTCACAGTCCTCCCCCACTCCTCCCCCCAGCCACTCGCTCTCCCTCTGTCCTGTCTGCATTGTAACTGTCATGATAAATACTCTGTGTTCTCTGTTTTTCCCCATTTCTTTCTTGACAGTTCTTCTCTTGTTTTTGTGTTTGTCTGTAGACAGGTGCGTGGCCACGTCCGTGACCATGGAGCCTCCCCCCTCTCTGAGCTTGGCTCTGCTAGGAGGGAGTGAGGATGAGGACCAGCGCTTCCTCCTTCCCCTGGGCAGTATATCCCATCCCTCCACCACAGGCAACCAGCCAGGATCAAACCACTCCAACCACATGGGAGGATCAAGCCTCGATCGTCTAAATGGCAGCACCCCGTCCCCGTCCCCGTCCCCTGCCACGCCCAATTTGCCTCCAACATCGCTCCCCAAGTTGCCCCTGTCATCCTCTGGAGGCCAGCCTCTGCCCCCACCCATTCCCAACGCCCTGCACCCCACCAGCACCCCGCTCTCCTCCTGCCTGGGCTCCCAGCACAGCCTGAGCGGGGACAACTCCCCGGTATACAACGCCCTCTTCTACTCCTCCCACTCGCCCTCCATGGAGCGGGAGAGGGACCGTGACAGGGAGAGAGAGAGGGGCTGCAAACACAGACAGGCCAGCCCTCTGGTTCACCGTAGGGACAGCAACCCCTTCACGGAGATCGCCATGAGCTCCTGTAAGTACACGGGCGGGGTCATGAAGCCCCTGAGCCGCCTCAGCGCCTCCCGCAGAAACCTCATCGAATCAGACAGCGGCAGTGAAACCAAAGAGGGTGGCGTTTCCGCTGTTGCCGGGGCAACGGCAACTGGGGGGCATGACCGACAGCGAGAAGCCCCCCCTACCTCCTTAGTGGCCCCGTCCTCTGCCAATCAACCCCTAATTCAGAGCCCTCCAGAGATTGTGATCTCATCCAAAGAAGACTCACCGTACCCCAGAGCCGGGTATGACATCACTGACTCCACTTCCAACCAGCTGTCCATCTATCACCAGAACCACGCGCTGGTGGAGAGCAGGCGGGTTCAGCCGGGGAGGGTTAGCAGGCAGGCGGGGATCGGGCCGGCGGGGTCCGGGGCCAGGGGCAGCACCTCCAAGGCCTCCAAACGGAAGAACCAAAACATTGGCTATAAACTGGGGCATCGCAGGGCGTTGTTCGAGAAGAGGAAGAGGCTGAGTGACTATGCCCTCATCTTCGGGATGTTTGGCATCGTCGTCATGGTGATTGAGACGGAGCTGTCGTGGGGCGTGTACACCAAGGTGAGGGGACAGACCGATGATGCCTAAAGGGGCCCGCCACTGATTTTAGGTCCCTGTACCCAGTCATGGTTATTATCGCCACAGTTATCTGGAGGAGCAAATAACCCCGATGATGTCATCGTGATGTCATTTGGTTTCGGCTTGGGTTACAAACTGAGGGTGTGTATTTTGAAAGACGCGGTCATTATCAGGCAGGGAGGGTGTAATGAAAGACAAGTTGCATTATGGAAAGTGTAGGATCCAGTCAGACTCTCATTAAGGACTAAAAGTTGCAATATCTCAACCTCTGATGCTAAGATTTGAACCATTCTGTTTAATTTGTCAAAGCAATAATAAATTGGTAGATTGTGCCTTTAATGTAGCTTCAGTACGTAAACAAAGTCCACAAATCTCACACCACACTGTCGTTGTGGTAGCGTTGTGCACTGGCTCTTAGCTGGAATCTATCTTGGTTCATTTGGCAAATTTTGGGTCATATTTGCCTTTTTGTTTTGATTTTAGCCTGTCGAAGTGACTTGAGATTCTTAAAGCCAGGACGACCAAACTTTAGGTGTTTTGGACACGTAATTGGCCCAATAATTAGAGTCGGCTGTTAATCACTTCATTCACGATGGGTATAAGTCTGACCAGCACCATGCCCATGTTGTTTGCTTGTGTACTGTTATGACCAGGCTTGACAGTTGCTGCTTCTGGATGATGTAATACAGCGATGCAAAGGACATGGGGGGCAGATTATCAGTAGGAGGCCAGGATCTCATTTGTCTGTGTAATGGGAGGTGTAATAAGCTGGATCGGCCCCTGGCTGCTGTTGTCTATTTATTTTGGTTGTGTGTGTGTGTGTGTGTGTGTGTGTGTGCAACATTGTCTCCGTGAGACATGAGCTCACCTTCCTGATGCAGACATGCTTCTGCCCTCGTTCCATCCCTTCTCTCTGTCCGACATGTCACAGAGCTTTGGTTTTCTTTAGCTAATAAGGTGGAAACATTACTTCCACTCACAGCTTGTCTTGCATGGATCACTGACCATGTGCAGGAGGCTATGGGATCATGTGAGAGCACAGGTTCACAGGTAGCCTATGAGAATAGGCCTGCTGGGTGTGTCTCTCCTTTCTATCCCTCTCCTTCTCTGTTTGTAGTCTCCAGTTGATACCTGGTTTATCTCCGTTATTGTCATAGAGAAATCAGCCTGTTCTGTTTTGCCGGCTGTGTCTCCCCTTTTTCTCTTTGCCTCTGTTTCCCATCATTTATGAAAACCTTAGTTATAGAGGCTCGGTCTTTTTATTAATGAAAATTGATGGTGGGAATTTCTTTCTCTCATGCCCTCCTTGTCTCTGTTATTCCTTTTTTTTTCTCTCGACGTATCCTCCTCCCTGAAGGAGACGGCGGACTTTCTACGCTCTCTGTATTTTCTTTTCAATTCTACGCCTGTCTCTTTATCCTGCTTTCTTCCTTTCTTTCTTCCTTTCTTTCATTATTCTCCGCACTTTCTCTCTCCCTCTGCTCCACTGCTCTTCCAGTGGGCGTCAAACTGGGGGAGTGTGATCGGAAGAGAGAAGCGGCTGGGCGAGAAATGAAAGGCTGTAGAAGAAGAGGAAAAAAAGGAAAGGCGATAATGAAAAGCATGATTTAGCTTCTTAAGCTACAACCAATGCCCTCCTTATCTGAATCGGGCAGCATATGTCTGTCAATAAGAAATGATGGACAGCTGTAAATTCAAGCAGAGCGGCCACTGTGTTTGCCGGTGCTCTCACTCTATATTTGTTAGTCGATGTTTATGAAGGAATCTAGTTCAGAACAGAAAGTTGGAGTTGAAGAAGAATAGTATGTTAATATCTTCGCACCTCATTGTTTCCCGTCAGGGTTGAGAGTTAAGAATGCCTCTGCAAATCCTAATCAAAATTCATTTCTAAATGCCGAGTGCTAAGTTATATATTCCTTTCTTTTTTCATGGTTTGCAGTTTTGGGTTGACTCCAGCAGATACTGGAGTTCTATCAGACAGTTCAAGCCCTCACTTAGATAATTGAGGTGGAAAGAAGCCCACTGGTTGTTGTGAAAAATGGATATCGAGATTGTGAGGATGAAAGAGAGAACGGAACGGGAGATGGATGGGAGGATGGCAGAGAGGAGAGTAGAGAGCTTCATGCAGTGCTTTCAACCAGTCTAGGGGGGAGGACTTGAATGATTTCTCATATTGATTATTGATTATCACTCACCCACACATGCACTGTCTACCATACAGAATGGCATATTGGATGCTGGCTTTCAGAGGTATACATATATCTATATATCTATATATCTATATCTATCTATCTATATATATCTATATCTATCTATCTATCTATCTATATATCTATATATCTCCTTCAGAGAATTTAATTTTTATTTTTTTATATTTATATATATATATATATATATATATATATATTATATAAATAAAATAATATTAAAAAAAAAATCGCGTTTCTACCAAACTAGCTACTCTATCTTGCTCCAAAAAATAGAGATGAAGAATGGAACTAAACGGGGTGGGTTGGATTGTGCGTGCGTGCGTGCTATGAAGGATAAGGTGAGAGAGGTTAACAGAGGAAGACATGGTGTTCGTGACTGTGGGTGTAGTAAGCAGATGTGTATTCATTTGCAGGAACAGATTTCAATCCTGGTCAGCACTGTAGCTGAAATGTTCCAGTCATTGTATTCGAGCTTCTCTCTTCAGTTATTATTCTGTCTGATTCCAAGTCCATCATCAAGGCCACTTTAGCGATCAGCAAGACACGTTTTGATGCAGATACAAACTGCTCTTATGTCCGTATATTCAGCAGTGGTGGAAAGTAACTAAGCCATTTACTCGCCTACTGCCCTTCAGTACAATTCTGAGGATTCCTGCTGCTTTAGACTTCCACTTCACTACATTTCACGTGTAAATAAATATTAAACTTTTTTTGGGCTGCTATAGTAACGAGTCACTTTTCAGATTTTCCCTCAAAAGCCTGATGAAGTTTGTAATAGACAATGCCCAATGATTAAATGCCCAACAGGATACGTATATATAGTAAAGCTCCACCTCAACCAGTCACAATACTTACACATTGATGCATCCTATTAACAATCTATTGATATAATAATACATCGCTCACAGAGGCCAGATCAACATGTTCACTTTGATAATTTAAGGACATTTTGCTCCGAATACTTATATCTTCAGAGTGTCAAGCATCACATTGTGTTTTTAACTTTACAATTTATTTTAATGATCAGTGTCACCCAGGACCTTGACACTTCAAATATTAACAGCAGTATGAGGACACTTCCTCTTAAAAGCACTTTTATGACTTTCTATTATCTACTATTAAGAACAGGTTAAAGGGGAGGGAGTTCCGGTCTGACATGTGTCTCTATCTGAGAATAACTGAGGCCTTTGGACACCTCGGACCTGTCGGATCAATAGATCATTTCACAGACGCCCATGTGGCTCCTTGGGGCCCCGGCTCTACGCGACGTTTCAGGCCTGCAATGGAACATAGCTATTCTGAGGGAACCCACAGCTGTTGTCAACTTCACCTGTCACACTGTCAATGCACACACTTGACACCTCAACTTACAGGACATGCGTTGTGTGTGTGTGTATGTGTGACAAGCAGAAGGACGGGGTATCATGTGTGAGCATGTGCCCACTTACTTTTCACCACGAGCATCGACAATTTCACTGATTAGCAGTAGTGCTCTCTTCCATTGTCCCTTTTTCCTTTCTTCCTTCTTCTCACTTACGGGGAGTGTTAATGTTTCTCCCCTGGTGAGTTTCACATACGTCTCCATTTCCCCAAGGGGAAATTGCCATTTCAGCAGGCTTACATCTTTCACATTCCCCTTCCGCTACCTCCGTCTCTTCCTCCCCGCCCTCGCTCCCCGATATATGACATTTCTTCCAGACATTTACTGGGGACCTTTCCAGACCTTTCTATGTGAGGCCACTTACAATGGTCGTATGCTGCTGTACATGAAGATCATCAGGGAATTAAACCTACCAACTGCCCCCATATTCTCTGAAGGAGCTATCAGCCATCTCAGCACTTCTGCGCCACTCTCACCCTCCTCTCTTCCACCTCCTCCTGTCTTCCACCTCCTCCACTCCACTCTCCCTTCATCTTTTAGATCACAGGCTTCTAAGGGGAGGTAGATCCCACAGGTCTTGCTACTAACAGGTACAAATATGTCTTTCAGCGTAACAAGGCTAGGCTACCTCTCTCTGTATGTGTGAGCGTGTTGGTAGACATGGGTGTGTTAGAACTCGCATCATCCGCCAGTAACGCAAACATCCACGTCCGTATACGTCATCTCCTCTGTGTATACACACCTATAAAGTATATGTATTGAGCTCTGTCATATTACTACTCATGGATGCACCTGCTAGTGTGTTTGTGTGTGTGTGTGTGTGTGTGTGTGTGTGTGTGTGTGTGTCCTGTTAAGGTGACATGGCTCCTCTGTCTACTGCCTGTTTCCCTGGAGACTGATTGCAGGAAGGCAACGCTCTGACAGGGAGAGACCCCCAAGGCTAACTCATTACAACACACTCACACACACATACATCCACCTTCAAAGGCGTTACCAACACATAGGGACCAACTTATCACTATGTGAGTGATGTGTTGGTAAGCAACGTGTATTTGCTCTCACATCTGAGTCAATAAGGTGAAGGTGGGGACTATTGGGGAAAAACCCTCAACTAGATACTACGTGTGTGTGTGTGTGTGTGTGTGTGTGTGTGTGTGTGTGTGTTGATTGAAATAAAGAAGCTCAAAAAAGCTCATTATCTCTGCATGCTGTCCACCAAGCCATTGATCAATACACACTTATCACACACTTGTGCACAGCTGGACAAAAAAGAGGGGAATACACACACTTACACACATAACACATGCATCCACATTCAACCATACATAGTTAATGTGACAGTAAGCCTTGCTGTTGCTAGAAACTAATGGAGCCCTGCCAGCCAATTATAATCAAGAATTATCCGTGGTCATGGTATAAAAAGAACAGAAATGAACAAAAGGCAAGCATGTGTGCACATATGTCTCCGTCACAGTGGAGTCATTCACTATATAGGCAGAGTAAGTGAAGTGGAAACAGGCGGAAACGAAATGCTCTTGACAGTGTGATGTGCAGAACTGAGAAAAAACAACTGAGCGGCCAACAGACAGCTGGAGGTAAAAGTAGTGAGAGAGAGAGAGTTAGAGAGTAAACTCCAAGCAAATCACATTTCAGCTCACCAGTGTGACTGTGTGTTCACACAGATACGCTGCTGAAATACAAGTTTGGATTTTTCTCATTAGCGCAACAATGTTGGCTTCCTTTGCACCTAGTTTGCTTCAGTGAGTACAAATGAGATGATAGCAGAGGAGAAAAGACCAAGACAGGGAAAGAGTGGAGAGCCAAAGCTAGATGGTATTTTCCAAAGGAAGTGCAGTGTATGGGCAGACACATGTCGTCTCTATAGGAACTGAGTTTTAATCATTTATTTCTGAATATGAAATATTTAATTTGAATAACTGCATTGAAAGCTGAATCTGAATAGCACAATTTGAATACATACTTCTGCCCATAGCAGTGACCCATAACCACATTGATATGAGCAACAAATGTACAACACTTACTTAATGCCATTAAGGCCGTGGAGAATCTGCAGAGTCCCTAAATAGATACAGTTACACACTAACGCACTCTATTTTCCAGGAGGCTGACTTACAATATATATTCATGAACCCAAAATGCAATGTAGATTCTGCTTAATAATGTCATGAAGGAAAGGCTGAGTAATATGTGTTTAAACTCAGAGTGCACTCTCAGATTAAGAGGGTGTTTGGCGATGAATACTTATCAGCAGAAATATCTGATCTGAGATGCTGCAGTCTTTAGGGTGCTCAACTCTCTTCTCGAAGAGGACGGCAGGCTGTTGAGTTCACCACACAACTTTGGTGATCTTGAGAGTGAATGCACTTTGTCTTTTTTGTGTATTATATTCTGCAGTTCAAAACATAGTCCTTGATCTGATGAACCCAAATGAATCATTTAAGTGAGTGATTTTTTGAGAAACCAAAGTACTAAATGCAGCTAGTTTTTTTTTTTTGTATGTATTTGTTTGAACTGTTTTTTTTTTTCGTGAATACTTTCATGCAGAACGCAAATATTATGCGGCAAAAAAGCGGCATTGTTTTCCGAAAGAAGCCTGCATACCATATCCATTCTTACCTTTCACAATAAAAGCCCGGGACATATATTATTTACAGGCAGGTATTCTGGATTTTTGTGTCTTTTATTTGTGTGAAGGCTGAATATGTTTTGCTTTACTGCTGATTCCTGACATTTTGCAACTGTGTGCAGAATCTATTTCACCATATATTCAACAGGTTAAAAGAGCTTTTGAAACTGAACATTGACACCAATCTACTCAATTAGGAAATAACACCTGAAACCTGGTGAACTAGGACAAAATCCAATCTCTGGTAAAAGCCACTCTAATTCATCCTTGTTTATAACAAATTGATACATTAAACAAAGAGAAAACAATGTAGGTTTAACTGAGATGTATGTAGGTTTTTTATTAGTTCTTGTTCCTCTTTTCTCAAAAATGTAAATAAGTCTATATTTTTCTTATTGTCAACAAATCCCATAAAAAGAACGAAACCAACAATGACTTGATCACGCCAACTGTCACAGTGTGTTCCTCTGTCACTCTTCTTCAGCCACATTCTCCAGGCTCCTCCATTGCCCTTTTCCTTCCATCCACCAGATGTCCTCGGACTTTCACTCCTTTCCCTCTCACCTGACTGACACACACACACACACACACCTGCTTCTAATTCCCTCACCTGCTCTGACTGGCTTCCCTGCTCCCCACCTACCTCCTCAGCTGCATCACCCAATCACCCACCTGTTTTCCATTCCTGATGATAAGATCCAAATACCTGTTCCTTGTTAGTTTCCTGCTACCTGTTGTAGGGTCTACTGTCTCACTTGAACTCTTGATACCTGGAAGCCCACCCATACTCTTGTTTCCCCATTATTCATCCTGCTGCCTCCTCTACTGTCTGCATTTGGGTCCAGTCCCTGTTGCCTCATACACCAGCAGTGACATTAACAATCATTGCCTGTGTTGCCAAAGCCTGATATATCTTATTCCTCTGTGCCATAGAGCCTAAAACCTACACATTCATGAGCCACACTGTTGAACTGAGTTCCTTCATACACATTCTGCTGTAGATACTAACAACAGTGCCAAAGCCATATTAATCCACTGCTGAAAATAGTCCCCAACAGATTACGGTTAACTCCTGTTTGATGAACGTTAGCTAAAATCTGCAGTGACCTGCTGTCTGAGGAAATTACTTGTCTCAAGTTTTTTTTAGTTGTTTTGGTGTTATATGGGATAAAGAGTGTTCTGTATTTATCAAAAGCATGCTATCATGATCTGCAGCCATGCTAGCAGTACAGTAAACTGTGCTTAATGATTTAAGCTAAATGCTCACATCAGCATGTTAACATGATTCCAATGGTATTGATTGCTTTTTGATGCTGGCAGGTGTAATGCCGATTTGATAATTGCGCTAGATAAAAGGTCAGGAGATGCATTTTATACAATTCATCCTCTGCGGACCATGAATACTTGTACCAAATTCCATGACAATTAATCCAATAGTTGCTGAGATATTTAATTAAAAATAAAGAAAACAAGGAAAGTCAAGGGATCACCAAAGTCAGTAGGATTCATCCTGTGTGGAACATAAACGTGTGTAGAAAGCTGCGTGACAATCAATCCATTAGTTGTCGAGATATTTCATTCTGGACCAAAGTGGTGGGCCAACATACAGACCCACACACCGACCGACAGACGGACTGACATTGCGATCCGTAGAGAGCCAGAGCCAAGCTACCAGCATGGTTAACAAGGTTGCTTGATGCATGACAATTATGGATGAGGTGAAAGCAAAGAATGGCAGAAGCTGAAGCGGTATAACATCACCTTATTTTTGTTGGTATACCAATGTGTATCAGAAGCCATTATTTAATGTACTCTATGGCCACTTACCGACAAAATAGGCTTTGTTAAAATAGCTAACATGCACGCTTTCTTATTACCACCGCTTTTAACGTCATGTTTAAGTTACTCAGGCTTTATTTTCTTTCATTAATTCCCATTTAGTTGACACACAACCAAACATACGCTAACCAATGAAAATATATTCTGAAATGAACACATTAACTCACGAGAGAACAGCTAACAAAACAATTTAATCAGTTTCCCTTTGCTATATTATCTCTATTTCTCAATTTAGATTAAGTGTGTGCAGTTGTGTTTCTTGTGTAAATGTGTGCTTGTGTCGGCCTATATGTGTGCACACATGCGTAGGATAAAGCTTTGATGTGCTCCGAGTGTGTGAGGTGAGGGGGTTAAAGAAGCCACTGAAGTGCTATGAGTTGTATTGATCGGAAGTTCCCCAGTGCATTGATTATAAGCCCGATGAAACCAGACAAGCTAAGGATTTAAAGCTCGGCTGCAGTGATATTGAAGGGTGGAATACTTCCAGTCCACTTCTGCTCAGCGTTTTGAAGTCTGTTTTGTAAATGTTACTTCTTATTGTCTATGCTGAGGCATTGCTATGGTACACTTGCCATTTCAGCAGAGGAGTGACAGAGGACGTAGTGACATCTGGGACTCGCTCCGAGTTTCACCTTGACTTGTGACAGAATGTGTGTGGGATCTTACATACCTAAATGTTTTCTGTTATTGTAGTCTGAATATTAAAACAACCATAATTACAAAATTGACCTTAAATTTATATTGTGTTTGTGCTGCTTGGTCCTAAGAATCTGTTTGTCAATTTTCTCTCTACAGAGCTCCATGTATTCTCTGGCCCTGAAGTGTCTGATCAGCCTGTCCACAGTCATTCTGCTGGGCCTCATCATAGCCTACCATGCTCGGGAAGTTCAGGTAAAACACAAGCACGTACATCCACAGGCAGACATACTCGTAGGCCTATATATATATACTGACACAAACTAACTCACAGTCTTGCTTTGCTGAGAATCGATACTACACTCATGTCTGTGAGTATGACTAGAAGCAGGGGTGAACAGCTATTCTGACTAAATCTGCCTTTCAGCACCTGTGGAGCTCACTAATTAACACGTTTTATATCTTGTTTGTTTCAATCGTGTAAAAAGTTTAGGTATGCTAGAAAGTATTGCTAGTGTCAGAACAATCTGTGGATTTACAAAAGGGTTGCGACTATTTCAAATCTACAGGAAGTGACAGCAGCTAGCCAGGAATAAGTTAACGCACTGTAAAACTTTTTGCAAAGCTTTAGAGATTGCTGGTAGGAAGACTTTGGCTGCGTTCCAAATCGCATACTTTTTATTTGTACGTTTAGTCCGCACTGCAACTGCCCTTACAAAGTACTTACTGTTGCATGCAGTATGCATATAATTGCGACATCTTTCATAACATTGCACCTTGAACTTTGATGCTCCTGCTTGTATATCCGGAGGCTCCAAGTAGGTCTATCTGTGGGTGCACAGTACAACAGGACGCCAACTACATGATACACTCTCGTTTGGTAGGTTTAGGCAGAAAAACTACTTGGTTAGGTAAACAACATGGTTTGGGTTGGAATAAGTATATTAATCCCAGAAGTTATCTCACAGGGTGTGTCTTGTAGTAAAGTGGATGTGCCATGTAGCCTGCGAGACTGCAGATAGACCGTAGATAGAGTCAGTGAGCTGTCATCAGGGTTTCATCTGTCTGCTCTCTCAGTTGATGTGACGTATCTTACGCTGAGGATTGTGGATCAGAAAAGCCAGGAAATCATGCTGGCCTTGCATACTGCAAAATGCAATTGGATGCAATAGGACATCCTGGTATTTTTGGCATAGTGCTTTTGACAAACTATGTATTGGGACATACTAAACCTTTTTTCTGGCATACTAAATTGTATGGTAGTATTGATATTGGAACGCACCATACGTTACCTTTGGAGAGAGCCAAGCTAGCTGCTTTATGCTAAGCTAAGCTAACGCATTGCTGGTTGTCACTTCATATTTAAGGGAGGGATATGAGAGTGCTATAAATCTTCTCATCTTACTCTTGGCAAGAAAGCAGATTTCCCAAAATAACGAATGCTTCTTTAATGCCTTCACCTTTTTGTTTAGAAGTGTTTTTTTTATAAATATTTAAGCAGAGGCACATCTGAGCTCTGTCCACAGTACATTATCCAGCCAATTAATGACTTTAATGAGGGTCTTAGTGGGATTGACAAAACAGTCTGCATGGCTTTGCATCGAGTAGATACGCATTGAATTGTTAAATATACACTCAGCCAATAACAACCCTGTCATTCGGCAGATGAATTGACACATAAACAGAAAAACACACGCGCAAGGCACACAAACACACATAGCAGCAACCTCTTGTACGGCTGAAACAATCGATCAGAAATGCTTTCATGCTTCTTGATATCTGTTTTGCTGTTTGTCATTTCACTAATATAATGGTACCACGGTCATTTAGCCTAAGGTTTCCATCTGAAGCCATTTGCAATCTATGCACATTGACTATTTATGGGAGCCTTGCGGGAGTCGGACCCAATGAGTGCCCCCACACCAGCTATTACTCCCACCAGCTAAACCACTGAGCAACACTCATCCATCTCACCACATATTAGTTTAATGCTGGGACTTTTTTTCATTACGTCACAGATTGGGTGTTGCTGGAAATGTCTATTACAGTTCCAGTTGTGATGGAGATTCTGATGCATTCTGCTCTTAGGTTTAGGCTCTCCGTCTGTGGATCAATAACTAGATGGCAGATTGCTTATTCACTGACATACACAGGGGCTGATAGACTGGCAATCAGTCTGTAATGGGCAGGCGCTGTGTAATAAGATGCCAGATGATGCGAGTGTTTGTGTATATTGTTCAGCATTCATTGATAAAAGAGCCCTCGTTTCTGCTCACAAGTTTGATGTCACAATCACATACGGAGTCAGTCCTCCTCCCACGCACACCGTGGCTGCCACACGTGACAGGCACACTAACACCATTAGGATAAGAAAAAATTAATACTGTAAGGTGGACAGAGAGAGAAAAAAGATCTTCAGTTGATAAATGAGGGTAGGAGTTAGGGGAGGCGGGCTGTGGAGGTATGGGGGGGAATTGTACCAAGGTGGGGGAGGTGATGTTGGGATTGAATATCACTTTGATTTTAAGTAAGGATGGTAAGAATGTAAAAGTATTTTTACCGTTTTGGCCGTAATTTCTATTGGTCATGATGACACTCTACTCACAAAAATTGCTGAAATCCGGGAACACACTGACATTGCAGTCAGATAATTTAGGTTTCAACCACTTTATGTCAGACCGAAGTTGAGCACACCTGAAATGCCGGTAATAGTTCCCCCAATGCACAATGGGTTTGGAAGTTGAAACAGGAAGTTTAATACATCTTAAAGTTTTTTACTAAATATCTATTTATCTAATTTAATACAATGTCGTGATTACCAATAGGAATGGGAAAAAAAGAACTACGGTATAGTAAACTGGAATTATCCTTTAAACTGTTGCTGAATGCTCCTTAAACCTGCAGTTAACATTTTTTTTGGCTACTTGGTGGCAGCAGAACAAAGTTCATATTGTAAATTTGTCAGCAAACAGTTGCTTATTTACGTATCCAGCAGTTACGTAGAAACTTTTCATCCATTTGGAGTCTGCTACTTAACACTCTGCTATTGCGTATACATGGGGCCCATAGAGCAAGCGCACTAGCGTTTCCTTTAACCCCGCCTCCCAGCCCTCGGTCCAGCCCTGTTCTCGGGCTTATTCACATGAACGGAGAAATATAAAAATAACTCTGGATTCAGCTATTAGTACATTTTACAACTTCAAGACCTAATGCTTTAAGTGTACGGGCCATTCAAGTGTTTGTACTGGGAAGTTGATTCCCCTCAAAAAATTATCCGCTGAGTTACAGACGTCTCTTTCCCAATGTAAGTCTATATGAGGAACTCTTTTTGGGCCCAAATGCATCATGTGGCGGACCTGGAAATTGTAATTCCACACCGTTTGGCCACTGTATAATATTTGCTTCAAAGCCCTGTGTGCAGCATCCTAGAGTGCATGCTTTCATATATGTAGGCTACACCTACAACCATACACGTGTTTCATTAAATGCATGTTCATGTTACTATTCAGTACCTGCCTGCTGGCGCTGAGCCTGTTTGCTTAGGCTATATACATGAGCAGCATAAGAAGTGCCAGTTTGTCTCTGCTTTTGGATGCTTCAAACAGAAACACACACACACACACACACACCAGGAGAAGTAACGCTGTGTGAAATGAAAGGCATTGTTCAATAAAGATCTCATTCTCAGATTATGACACACTCTGCTGGAGCATTTTGCCCAGCATGTAACAGGATATTACATGCACGCACACACAAACATATACACATGCGTGTGCGCACGCACACACACACACACACACACACACACATACAGGCTACATTTGCACAGACGATGCTAGAGATCAGATTGATGTTATCGGGTTTAGCTGGCATTTATACCACCTTTCTCTCTCTCACACTGATATCCATTTCTCTCTCCCTCCGCATGTCTTTTATCTCACTGTACTTTCTGTTTACCACCATCAGTGTGATTCTCTTTTTCTCTCTTTTTTCTTTCTTTCTCCTGCTGCTTCTTCGTCATTATCCGATTAGATCTGTCTCATTTCTCCTCTACCGGGCCTCAATTCAATTTGGTTGTTGGGTTTCACATCCTTTCTTCCTGACTCCTCTCCTGCCTCGTTACTCAGCATTCAGCTTCTCACCTGTACCCTTCTCCTGGTGTACTTTAACACTCGCCTGCTTTTCTCTCCGCCTAAAACCCCTCACTGTTTTTTGTTTTTGTTTTTTCCTTTTATGTTTTCCCCTCTCTTTTGTCTCTCGCATCTTTCTTCTCTGCCTTAATCTTTTTGATGTTTCTTGCCTCTTCCTCCTCTCTTTTCATCTTCACTGTTTCTTCTAATCTGTCAGGGGACAACTCAAACCATTTGTGCTCAAATAGTCTAGACTGTAGTGAATTCATTGTTAATCATCACAGATTACAGCCTTGTTCACTGCCATCAAAGAAAATAATTCCATATATAGTTCTTGTAGAAGAGAGAAAATTGTTTTCAGTATAAACTAAATGCTGTAACCGACATAAACGTAAAGCAAACGTGTGTCTCATTTATATGGTTTTGTTACAGTGAAAAATGAGCTGACATGAGGACGTTTTCATTTGAAGTGAGAACATTGCATTTCTGTGAAGTGCATTTGTTGTCAAAAATTACAACAAATGATAACTTGGAACACAAAATATCTTCTATAACTTTCTTTAGTTTACTGCATGTTTAGATTAAATCAGTGGAGCACAAACTAGCACATTGCCAACTCCTCTAAATTATTTGACAGTAAGATAATTGCAGTTGAAATACACAAATGTTACATTTTGTCATGTTCCAACATTTCACTGGGATGGCTTCTGATTCTTACCAAATTTGATAAAGCCTGTCACGTTCTCTCTGTTGTTCTCACATACTTCTTTGAGCAAACTAATCTCAACAATCCTCCTTAAACTTGTACAATATGCAGCCGGGGTTCTGACTGTAACAAAAAGACATCATCCTTATAATTACCATCTCATCATCATATATTAACAATTTATCAGATTGTATCCGTGTATCAGTGCAGATGGGTCTGAGACCCTTTACTATATTATCTGTAAAAAAGAAATATAAACATTTTGGGGATACATTAACAATTCCATTCAATACAATAATGATACATGAATTATAGATGTTTTAGTGTTTCATAATAGGAATTTTCTTCATTGATACAACAAATATAGTCTTCCAACTATTTAATAACTCTACATTTTGATCGTCAGCCTATAGCTATTA